AAAAACTTGTTTTAAAAAGTGCTCAGTGAATGTCAGTAGAGCTTTGAAATGAAGATTTTTTTTGTTTCAGAACAGCTATGATTGCATCTTTGGATTGGGTTAGCTGGGAAAGGGTAGAAGCCACTGGAGGCAGGTATCATAGTGCTGGAATTCCTGGAAGGTGAGGATGGAAACATTTTGAGTTTAGTTCTGTTTAAACCTTTTTGAAATGTGGTGACTGAATTCACATGCAAAGATTGCTCCAGGAGCAGAGGGAGGAGGAGGAGATTCTGTGCTTCTGGATGATGAAAATAAAGACCTTAGAAATGCCAGCACAGAGATCTCTGTCTCGTTCCTCATCTAATAGGAGAAATCCGGTCTGAACACAGAAGTGAATCTTCAGCAGGGTAAAAGTCTAAAAAGAAGTTGGCACTGCTAAATAATATTTGCTGTCTGAATACTGTTTTTATACACTGGGCTGACAGGCCTTGGTTGGCGCCGATGTTGGGAAGCTGCTTCTGCTGCTGCGGAGCAGAACTGAGCTGCGTCTCCCAGTTCCTGGCAGCAGAAGGTGAGCAGGGGTGCCCTGCCCCGAGTGTGGGGAATCCCTGCAAGTTGGCTTTGCTTCCCAGGATCTGCAGTGCCCTGACTGCAGCCACAGCCTGGGATTGAGGTATTTCTCATAGGATCATAGAATGTCTTAGGTTGGAGGGGGCCTTGAAGATCTCGGCAGGGTTCTGCTGTCCCCATTGGCTGCCCATGGCAGTTACAGCTCTGGATGGCTAATACCTGCATGATAAAATGAAGTGCCTTTTGTTTTCTGTTGCTTTGCACTTCTTTGTGCTTCGTAATAGCACAGGAGATGTTCTTCTGAAAGGGTCTAGACAACTCAGGAATTACTTCTGCTGGGAACTTTGGAGGCTATGGAATTACAGCACTCCATTTTCCTACATTCAAAGTGCATATTAAAGAAATGTGATCCCCAGGAGAACTCAAAGGCAGCTCTTTGTGTATAAAATACTTTAAAATATATCACAGCTGATGATGTGTTAGTAAGCGTTTGGGAAAAGCTGTGTTTTTCTAATTCAGCTCTGCTCTGCAGTGGCTCTGTGCCCCCTATTCATTCTTTTGAGACATAAATTGCAGAACAGTGCAATTACTTTCCTGATTATACTTTATCTTCCCTTACCGAGGTATTAAAGAGGAACCAGGGAGCATATTATAAAACATACAGGCCTATGAAATCTTGATTCCCTTAAAACAATTGCAGGGAAACTCAATCTTACAATTACCTGAGTGTCCAAAATCATTTGTCAGATCTCCCAAGCCCTTCACAGTCTTTTTCCTTGTCTGTGGTGCCTGGAGCTGTGTCAGCCCATCGCCAGTTTCTCGTCTCAGAGATGAGTTGATTTAAACAAAATATCTCCAAAGGTTTTGATGTGAGGGTCTTGGAGAAGTTCTGGGGTGGGAGTTCTGGGCAGTTCTGTTGGAATCCTTTCGGTTTTGCTGCTGCAATGAAAGATCAATGTATTCTAATGCATCAACTGCTAGGTTGCCTTCTGTAGCAAGGCTTCAACTGGAAATTAGTTCCAGGAGGAAGAAAATGGTGTATTAAAACTGGTAGCCTTGCCTAAAGCCAGCACGCCAGCCTCTTCATGTTCCTTCTATGTCTGTTGTGCTCAGTGCCCTGTGTGCCTTAAGCTCCAGCTGTCCCCAGTTCTGCCTGCAAAGCTTTGAGAGGAAACTCCCTTAATAGATAGTAGAAGAATCCATCATCTGTATCTCAGTACTTCTGGAAATTGTTTCATTTGTTTGTTTTTAGGTTCTATAGAGAAGATAAGCAGGTTTTCTCAGTATCTCTGGGGTCAGCGAAGCATCGTGTAACGGCTGCCTCTCAAACTGCAGAATCTGCATTGAATCTCCTGGGTGATAATCTGTTATCCGGTCTGTCCCACAGTGATGGATGAGAGTTGTCTTCCCTGCAAGTTGGGAATACTTTGTGTATTTTGAGGAACACAGAGCAAACTTCATGAACAGCACTCAGGAAAGAAAAACCCTCTTTATAATGTCAGAGATGAAACCAATGGGAAGTTATAATACTTGAATTCACTCAAAGCAGGCAATTATGCAACAAATTCCACAAACGTTGTTCTCTTTTAGTTTCTGCTTTAAGAAGTGGTGGTTGTATTACATAGAAACCAGCACTCCTGAAGGGAGTTTTTCTCCCTTTTATTTTTCTAGCAGGAAGTACAGTTGCAAAACTTCCCCTCAGCTCAGAGGTATTTCTCCAAATGACGTATTTTCAGCTGTGGTCATTGGTGGTTTGGAAGGCACTGCCATTGAGATTTAGCCTTGAACTGCTGGTTCCTGTCCTCTCTTCGTCCTGCTGTTTTCCAGCCCCTTAGGAGCTGGAAATGCTTTTCTTCGCATTTCTGTGCTGCTCGTCTGCCACAATATTGGAGCTAGAAAAGCCTTTCTTGTTTCAGCTCTGTGTTTGTGCTAATTCCAAAAGCAGTCATGAAAAAGGCTGGTGGAACAAACAATAGCTGATTTACTTGGTTAATTTAAGTGGCACAGAGTGGGTAGCACAGGGAGGCTGCCTCTGTGCTCCAGCAATCATGCTGGGAGGTCTGCAGCACCATTACATGCTGTTATTACTTTCTGGATAATGTATACATTTTCTCTATAACATAATTTTTTCTCCTTCATTTTTCATAAGAACTGGCACTAGATTAATGGTTAAGCCATAGAAGAAAGGTAACGCCACGCCAGTCTGATTTATTGACCACTTAATGCTGATGAAGCTGCAAACTAGAGTCAGACAGATGTTACAGTGGCATTTTTCTTTTTCAAAACTAGCAGCTTTTTGTGTTTTTAACCATTTCTTGCACTGACTTCTGCCTGTCCTACAATGCCAGGAGTACTGGGACAAGTCCTTCCATGACCCTAAGGAGAACCTCCTCAGGACAGGATGCCTTGGGGCTCAGCGTGCCAAGCAGACTTGCCCAGTTTGGGGACAGATGGCCACAACTTTGCTTCTGACTTGAGGGAAGCCAAGTAGCTCTGTTGAGGCTGTGTGAATGAAATCACTGACAGCTTTCTGACGGGCACGTTCCCAGCCTGCAGTGTCTGTCTGAGGGCTCCCTGCAAGGCTTCCCTTCCGCCCAGCTGCAGGGTTTCTGAGATGCACATCCGACGTGCTGGCATGTTTCCTGTATGGCAGTTGCCTTCACTATGGACAGAGCAGGTTTGGTGCACCCAGAGCAAGCCAGTTCAATAGGGGCAAGTGAGAGGCTCGACTCAGAGCAAAGTTATGGCAATAAGATGTCTCATCAGTGCACACAGGCAAATATGGGGACTGCGTATCATGAAAACCATCATCCATAGCATCACAGGATGGTTTATGTTGGAAGGAACTTTAAAGATCATCCAGTTCCAACTCCCTGCCATGGGCACCAGACCAGGCCCCATCCAGCCTGGCCATGAGCACCTCCAGGGATGGTAACAGGAACGTGTTGAGTTTTCTGATGAGAGTTTTCAAAAATGTGTATTCTCTTAATTTCTGTCAGAACACTTTAGTTTACTGCGTAGAACGGCATTTGAGACGGCCTTGCTGTGCCAGCCTTGCAGTCAAGTTTTAGATATAGACACTGTGAACAAACCTGTTGGCTCTGTGTTTATTTTATATGCTTTTAATGTCCTGTTGTACAAAGTCTGGTGCCAACCCACTGCTGCAGCAGGTTGGGAAGCTCTGCCCCTGAACTGGTGATGAAAACTCCCTCTCACCCGAAATAAGGCTGGCTGCAATGCGTCCTTCTGCTCTTCTTCACAACTTCCCTGAGTGCAAAGAGATGTCTTTCCATGAAATCTCTGAAGCATATTACCTTTTATTACTTCATCATCTAAGTCACTAATTAAGTTAAATTAGCTGATGGAGACTATTTGGGTGTATAGGTAATGGTTTTTATTATCTGGATCTTTTCTGAATTGCTCATGAGGACAGTTGTGTGCTGAGGCTTCTTACTGTGCTCCAGTGCTGCTCAGGCTCCCCTTGGCCGGGTGCCTCCACGTTGAGCTCCATCTCTGTGGGTTTCAGAACGGAGTGCTCCCATCAGCTCACCTCTGCAAGCAAATGATGGATCGAGTTCCCAGTGCTGCTCAGAATGGGGCTCTAACATAATTAATGAAACATTAGAGTTTTAATTACACCATTATCCTATTTATTTTTATAAATAATTCCAAAGCAGTCATTTAAGTTGGTGAACTTAGGAGTAAATGACTTAAGGGAAAGAAATCAGCTTCTCAATCTCATTATTATCTATTGCACAGCATCCCAGGGATGCTGTTGGGAAGCTGGCTGAGCTGTGTCTGTAGATGTGATGATGGTTTATTTACAGGCACTGTGGTCACGCGGTGCTGAGCTCCTGCTGGAATCTCCCCTCTCAGTGGGACGGCGCTGCAGAGCATCAGAGCATCACTGCGTTTCCTTTCTTTCCCTCAGCTCCTGTAAGAAGTGCATTGGGAGGGAGAATGGAGCATTAAAGAACTTGTGGGAGGAACCACCCTGTGCTGGCCCCAGAATTGGTTTGCAGCAGTGCTGCTAAAGACACCGTCCCCTCCAGTCCCAACCTTCTGCAAATTGCTGTTTTCATCGCAAACCTGCAAATTCTTCAAAAGACAAGGAAATACAGGCTGGTCTGAGAAGGACCTTGGGGGCACTCTGCCATACTTTAGCCCCTTTAGCCAACCTCTTCCCTCCCTCTTTCTGCAGCTGTTCTGAGAAATGTGGCTCTTACTGATGCTTTCAGGTGAACTTCCACGTATCTGAAATAATCTGATGTGGACTGGAACTTTTTCCGTATCTTTTGCAAGAACAGCTGTGATCTCAAGGGAACCTGGTACATCATGCAGTCTAACCATGATGCTCTCTGTCCTCGTTTTCATTAGGAAAGCAAGTCCAGAGAGCACAGAGTCAGGTTGAGGTCCAACTACGTAACCTGTGTTCTCTGCTCTCCCTGTAGAACCCAGACATCGTGTTGGTGCACTACCTGAATGTTCCTGCCATTGAGGACTGTGGAAAACCCTGCGGCCCTATCTTGTGCTCAATAAATACAGACAAGAAAGAATGGGCAAAATGGACAAAAGAGGAACTCATTGGACAGCTCAAACCCATGTGTGAGTATCTGGGTTATATTTTTCTTCTCCTTGGATGATTAATTTAGAGTACAGTGCCTCTCTCTGCCACTGACCTCTCTGAAGGAGTTATTTGTCACCATCAAATCCGACTTGCATCTGCATGCACTTTCTTCCTCATGTATTTTATCCATGTATCAGCTGTCAATTCTTTCCGCATTAAAGTTCTTACTGAGCACCCATTTACGTTCTATGAGAGCTGCCTAGACTGTCCCAAAAGGGATTATGGTTAAGCTCCCCTCAGCACACTCCATGCTATGGAAGAAGTATACCTGCAGTCTCATGTTTTTCATGTGCCATTTCTAGGTATCTCCTCGCTCTCAAAGGACCTTTACTACAGTATCACCAAGTAGGGGTCCCTGAAAGGCCCTCTGTGTTTGTGTTTTCTATGTCAGATCAGAATTGGTTGCTGCCATTTATAGGAGGGCTCTGTGGAGCTGAGTATCTTTATCAGCAAGGTGTACCTGCTGTGAGATGCCTTTCAAGTGCCAACTGTTAAAGGGAAATTCCTGTTGAAGTAAATCTACTTCCTATCCACTACACAACAAAACTGGAGTCAGATGGTTTGGTGATGCAGAACTTCCTTGCAGTCACCCACAGGATGAGTTTTTGTTATACTGTCCAGCTCCCCTGTTCAATGTGGTTTGAAGCTCAAGCTTGTTCTTGAAAGCCCACTTATAGATTTCAGGAATTTCTCCTAATCCAATCTGAAAAAGTAGTGGATAGGATGTATTTCAGGATGGATATCATTCACCATTGTTCTAAACTCCGCAGTGTAAATTAAGGCTGATAAGGTGTGTAAGGAAATGTGTCCTGCACACTGCAACTCTGTGCACCTCATGCATCCACCTTGAAACACAGTATTTTCTAAAACATCAATGATATTGTATGGATATATTTTCCCTTGGAAGATATGTCTGAAAATGCATGTGGAGTTGTGCAATGAAAGATAGACTAGGCATAAAGGGAGGTCTCTAATCAAGAGAGCATTAATTGCCGGAGCTGAAGTACCAAATCTAGGTGCTTAATGTGAAGCAACAGTACCAAGTCTGCTTCTGTCCCACACCCCTTCCCCAGCAGATATTGGTTTCGTGTCCACTGCTGTAAATGCCACTGGCCTCACCAACCAATTTCACTTTCTCATAGATGCCCGAGGTACAGAAGCAAGGTAATTTCCTCGTGCAAACAAAACCCCATTTCTTTTTTTGCTCCCCTGTATTTCTTTTCCATGAGAAGTTGAAGTAGAGAAAGCAGGAAAGAAGAGAAAAGAAAAAAAAAAAAGCAAAAAGCAAAAAACCAACACTTCTGCTAAACAGAATAGTGCCCTGGGACCAATAAAGCTTAGACAGAAATCCAAGATGTTGAAAGGATAGCTGAGACTGAACAAGAGCCTCAACATTAAACAGGAGGGGAAGCAGCAGCCTGTTTGGGGGAGAGGAAGAAAAAAAAACAAAAAAAAAAAACTTGTCTTGCATCAAGAAAATTATGTGAAAACTACAGCGAACTAGCTGTAAATTTAATAACACTTGGCTTTTTTTATGTCTCAGGAAGGAAGAGTGAAATTCTGCACAATTATTCAGAGTATGTATGCAAGTACATGTCTCTGCTTATGGATACGTATCCAGGGAAGCACATCCTTGGAAATGCAGCTACTATAAAAGCATTATATTCTGATCAGACTTAGAGAGGACACACATAACCATGTTCAGGGAACACGGAGGGACACGTTTGCCAAGAAGCCATTGGATTTCTTTCCACTATTGGGTGTGCCATGAGATTAAGGAGCCAAGCATATTGGTTTCATTGCATTTCCACATCAGTCACATTCTTTCGAAGAGTTCAGTTTGATTGCCTGATGTTTCCAAATTTGTCTGCCTTAAAGCTCCTCTGTCAGTGACCTTGTGACCGGCTTTCCTACACGTCCCATGTTGTGTCTCAGTTTCATTCCCCCAGACTTTGAAGTTGTGTGAGATTTCCTGTTGATTTGTTTTCTTAAGAGTTTCACATTCAGTACATGGTAGTGATGGAGGAGCCAGGCTGTGCTCAGCGCTGTATTTGCAGGGAGATTTTTGTATCCTGATTCAGACAATGAACGTCCCAGAATTAGGAGATGCTGATGCTAGGTCTGCCTTTAGGCACAGTGCTTCTTCCTCGTCCAAGGTCAGGGACAGCATTCAGTTCTTAATTTGGGAGGCACCCTTCAGGATGTTTGTGCAAAATGAGTAGTTGACGTTCTGTGGGAGCTTTGAGTCGTTCAGTGTGCCTGATAGGAGGAGTGGGCCTCAATGTGGGACTGCTTTCCTGTTTCCCTCTTCTCTTGTGCCCTGCTGTAGTCTTGCTTTGAGATTTCTCTGAACAGATCAGCAGATGTCCTTTCAGGCATCTGGTGGTAAAAGCCAAATGCAGAGTTCAGCACAGCTGAATTCAGTATATAAACTCCATGTGATCAGCAGGTTGTTGGCCAGCTCATCCTGAGGCTTCTCCAAATCATCCCCTTCTGCCTTTCACGTCCCTCAGCTGGCAAAGCATGTTACAGACTTGCCGCCAATGCTACCTTGCCATCCTCATTTCACATCTGCTATTTTAAGACCTGTCTTTCCTTTCCCCCCGCCCCTCAAAAAAAAAAAAATACTTTTTTCATTTCTCTGCTGCTTGCAAACGGGTCGCTCCTGGCCTGCACACAACCACAGCTGAGGCAGTGGAGGTTCCTTGTGGTACTGGTTGAACTTTAATGCCTTTGGGCGTTTCACATCTCACATCCTCAGAGGCTGTCCTGCATGCGTCAATGAAGCAGCAGAGACTCATGGAGGTGACCTGAAACTGCATCCCTGCTGCAAATGGGAGGGAGGGCAATGAGCCCAGTGTGGGGTTTGAGAAGTGATAATGGGCACAGAGGTGATGTGAAGAATTGAGTTGTTGGGTTCTTGTTGCTTGGTTGTTTTTTTTCTAGGCTGACTTAAATTTATATTCAATTTCATTAGCAGCTTAGGATCATTTACGCTTAAAAGATTAATTGTTCTATCAAGGATGATTTCCATCATTTCCCATCCATTTGTCAGAGCTATGAAGTGACCCCCGATGGGGTCAAGGAGAAGCTGGAGCTTCCGTGACCTCTTTACCAAACACTGCTTCTCCCAGAGCGGGTTTTACCAACAGAGCTGGAGATCCGCGTGGAGAAGCCAAAGAATCCTCAAATGTGACGCGGACGGAGGAGCCCCATGTGCGCCTCGGCGCCTCCCGTGGGCCGGGCCGCCCCGTTCCTTGTCGCGTGCTGCCACCTGGCGGCCGGCGGGAGCGCTGCAGCTCCGCGCGGGGAGCAGCCCGGAACTTGAGGCGGCTGCGTGTGAAAATTTGCGTGTGCGAATGTCGGCGTGAGGGCGGGCAGAGCGGCGGCCCGGCGGTTCTCTCTGGGGGTAACAGAACCGCGTGGGCGAAACCTGGCAGGTGGGAGCCCGGCCCACGGCGGAGGGGTTGGAACTTGGTGACCTCTGAGGTTCTGTGATTCTGTGCCGCCTCCCATTAGCTGTTAAATATCCGCATGTGAGCGTTCGAGGAGGGGTTTCATTCTATAAGAAGGACTCTATGGCACAGCTGAGAGTGAACCTGTGCAGAGACGGGCAAATTCAGTGAGCAGTGTTAAGAAATGGGAAACACGAGTTCACCTGCATCCCCAGCAGCGAGGCTCAGGAAATCTTGCTGTGCAAGCAGTGAAGGGGGAAGGGGAGGGCTGGAAAATCAAAGCAGAATTGTATGTGGGTGTCCAGATGTGAAGAGGTAAATCTAATGAAATAAATCTGATGAAATGTTTACCTGCTCCACGCAGGCAGCAGTATCGTTATTCAAAAAACAAGTGGCAGACCCTTGTTATCGAAAAGAGGCGAAGGATCAGCAGCTGAGCTGTAGGGAGCGGAGAGCAGCGTGGACAGCATGGAGACTGTGAGAAACTCTGAGTAAAGGATAGGATATTCCCAAGAAGATTCGTTGTTTGGAGAACTTCTTTGTGAATATTACTGATAGGTTTAGGAAGATCAAAAGCTTTGGCTTCTGCTTGATTCTTGCAGTAGGCAAACGATGGAACTTTGTTACAGTGGAAGGAACTGAAAATAACAGGCATGGCACTGTAGATATCCAGCCATAAAACTGTCTGTTGCTTTTCAGCTTCCAGCTCACAGCTTGATTCAGGTCCAGCAGGAACCATCATGAATAAACAAACCACAAGATACAATCACTGGTCAGATTTGCTCTCTTTAACACAGTGCTCATCACCGGATTTAGTCATAGTGGGAAGCAGGCTCTGATACACTGCTGTGAAACAGAACTTCTGTATGCAGCAGTCTGAGCTTCTGCAGCAAATAATTTCTGAAGTAACCAGAGATAACACTGCTAAGTTTCTCAGTAGCAATTACAGTTCAGTAACTTTATATAACCAAAAACTTCAGTGCAGTTTGATCTCATTTTCAGTGTTTTTTTGTTTTTTTTTTTTTACAAAGCTGCTGTTTGAACATTTCTTGTTAAGCCTAACATCACATGTGACAGAATAATGTATTGAGAATAATAAAATGGATGTGAGTGCAGGAACTGGAGCAGGAAGCATGTGTGAACTGAACCTTCCATGTCATAACAGACACTGAGCCTTAGGAGGAAAGGCAAAATGTGAGCGTGCTATAAAGCAAAATCTGGTGGGTACAATAACGATAAAAGTGGTTGTCAAGCAAGCATAGAGGGACTCATTACTAAACCAAGTGCAACACTTTAAATAGTGATAGGAGGAAAAATACTTGTAAACCTTTTTTACAGCATTTCTGCAAGTTTCTCATCTCAGCCAATAAAAATGCAAACTCTGATACAGAACTGGAGTGAGGTGAGATGCTGCGAGGCAGTGTAACATCAGTGGGTGATGAGGAAGTGTAACAACAGGTGATTAAAAAGGCAGACCCAGGAACGCTGTCCCACTGGCTGCTCATGACATACGGAAGGGCCCAGGAGGAGAATAGGACATTTCACATGCCATCTTTACTCTCTGGCAGTGTTGTCAATAAGTGTTGTGAACAGGCCCTTGTTTGCTTCTGACTTTCTTGCATGAAGCAATTTGCTGATGGAGAGCCTGTGGGTCTTCCTGGCTGTGAGGTGAGGCTCAGCCCTGCATGCTGTCAGCATTCCATGCTATCGATTTGTGGATGTCACTGTGCAGGGATCTGTGAGTTGAGAGGTGAAGTCAGTGGGACTCAACTTTGGCAGGGCTTTCTGGTTTAGTATTTTAGATTTTAGAAGAAATCTGCTTTTCCAGAGTATGACAAAGGCGTTGGAAAAAAAAAGCTTTTCAAGCCTAACCTGTCAGGAAAGGAACACCATGGGAACTGTGCTGCCAACAGCCAGCACGTGGCAAGGTGTTCACTGAGCCCTACTGCACATGCAGGGTGTGCCCCTAACATTGCTTAGAGAAAGGCAAAAAAAAAAGGGTGTAAAGTGTTCCTTACAATGCACTGTTTTACTTCAGTGAAGCACAAGTACTCTATTGTTGCTTCTGGATTTTTTAATGTGTTTGGTAAGTCTTGGATAGGAAACCAAGAAAGTGGTAAACCAATAACCATTGCTGTTACTTTACGTAGGTCTCATCAGCTCTGAGTAAAATCAGCAGGAGAGGCTTTCTGCTGTTCTTTTGGGATGACTTCTGATGTTTCCTGGTGTGTTTTTGAAGTTCCTGAGTTTTTCTGTTCCCTTTCCAGTTCATGGTATTAAGTGGACGTGCAGCAATGGAAACAGCAGTTCAGGGTTCTCAGTGGAGCAGCTGGTGCAGCAGATCCTCGATAGTCACCAGACCAAACCGCAGCCTCGGACACACAACTGTCTCTGCACTGGTACCTTGGGTGAGTGCCACGGGAGGGCACGACGTGCTTGCAGCTTAACCCAGGCTTGGAATGGGTTTTGCAGCACAAAAATGCTGTATTGTGAAATGTTGAGACCCAATGAGTGTAGAGGTAATAGAAGATTTAAGAAAAAAAAACGCACCTGGAATTTCTGTTTAAGAAAAAAAAGAAACCACAAAACCAGCAGCAGACGCTTTGTGTTGTGCCCTCTGTATGTGATTTGCTTAGAAAGGTGCGTTCTCTTCTGCATGCTTCAGAGTTTATTGTTCTGACAACATTACCCTCAGAAACTGTTGCCCTGCAGCCTGCTTTGCTGGAGAAGGGCTCAGGTGGTTACTTACAAGGCTGCTCTGGAATAAGACAGGTTTTATTTAATTACCATGAAGACATGAGAGATTTCTGTCCTGTTGAAAAAGATGGTTTTGTTTGGAGACTAGAATGGCAGGAAACAGCATCCTGAGTGTTAGAGCTTTGCACAGCAAGTAGGAAGAAGAATTATTCTTTTTTCCATCTCATCTGCTTTATAGCCAGTCCTTCCTACTACTTTGGTCAAGTAAAATATATCATATACTAATTAGTCTTCAGAGAAATTTATAAAGGAAAGCTGTCTGTGCTTCAAAGGGTTTATTTTTTTCTGCTTTTCTGGGCAGTTGTGTTATACAATTGAGGTTTTTAAGTAAGAATGATGACCTCCGAAATACCTGGGTTTGGATTAAAATTCAAGCCTGAAGGCTCAGCATTTGATCCAGGTTTGCAGATCTGAACACGAATCCTTTTATGCTTCCCTTTGATGTTTTGTCTTGTGTTAAGTCTGCCGCCTGGTTTTTAACATAACAGTATCACTTTGTTTTGTAAAGGCTGGCACATTGACACACACATCCCCAGTTCTTTGCAGTCATAGGCAAAGACTGCAGAGTGAAAGCTTCTCATGTTCCTGTTGGTCTCTATACCTAGGAGAATAGAGAGATTTAATACTGCCTTTAGTCTGTCCTGAACTACTTTGAGTGACCTGATTCAAATCTTGAGTGCATAAAAAAGAAGTTCCCCTTCAAGGGCAAGGAACAAAAGGGTTGGCAAATTAGAGCGCCTGTGCAGACACTTTGTGTTGCCCAGAAGATGGTATTCATAATTGTGGCCATTAGCTACAGGGAGCTTCTTTTCCCCATTAGTCATTGTAGAGTACAATAGTTGTTCTTACCTCATTCTAGGGAAAATGAATCCGTTAAAGAAGCACACCTCAATGGCTGGGCTGTTCTTTAAGCAACAAATGCCATTCTTGCACTGGAGTTTGTGGATAGGACACTTTCCAGAAAGAACAGTTTACCTCAGACTGCCTGATTTCTGCATTTGCAGAACAGGGCCTGCAAGGCAGAAACAGTCTGCCATAGCTGACAGACTTACTTTGCAGACTTTGCCCACGTTAAATAACTGAAATTTGGCACAGATGCTGATTCCTTTCCTCTTTATTTGTTATCAGGGCAGAAAGAAGTAAGGTGAGGGTAGGCGCTATGTGTGGTGGAGCTAAGTGTGCACGTGTTCCTGTTCCGAGGTTTGTCGTTGTGCACAATGGATCTATGTGTCAGATGGAGGGGGAGCTGTACATGTGGCATGAGCAAGAAATCACTTCCACGGTGCCGCTTGCTCTCTCCATCCCTCACACAAGCACCTAGTCGTGGCTTTCCTTTACTACAGCTGTAAGACAGGCAACCAGCATGGGTTTAATTTTGTGCTTACTGAAGCACCAATGTTGTTTTCTGGCACAGGGGCAGGAAGCAGTGTGCATCACAAGTGTAACAGTGCCAAACACCGCATCATATCACCAAAGGTCGAACCAAGGACAGGTGGGTACAGCACTCATTCAGAGGTACAAAATAACGATGTCTCTGAAGGCAAGAACGAGCACAGTCATGGCAAGGCCTCCAGCCGGGAGAAGAGGAATGGCAAAGTGGCAAAACCAGTGTTGCTCCATCAAAACAGTACCGAGGTTTCTTCCACCAACCAGGTCGAAGTCCCTGACACAACCCAGAATTCTCCTGTGTCCATCAGCAGTGGATTAAATAGCGATCCAGATATGGCGGATAGCCCAGCAGTCACTGGTGTGTCCAGCATGGCTGTAGCATCAGTTATGGGAAGCCTGTCACAAAGTGCCACAGTGTTTATGTCAGAAGTCACCAGTGAGGCTGTGTACACCATGTCACCCACCTCCGGCCCGAATCAACACCTTCTGTCCTCAGATGCGGCTGCACAAGGGCTGGTACTTGCTGTGAGTTCTGATGGACACAAATTTGCTTTTCCAACAACAGCCAGTTCAGAGAGCTTGTCCATGCTACCCAGCACCGTCTCCGAGGAACTTGTGCTCTCCACAACTTTAGATGGAAATAGAAAAATTCCAGAAACCACCATGAATTTTGACCCAGACTGTTTTCTTAATAACCCCAAGCAAGGGCAGACTTATGGTGGAGGGGGTATGAAAGGTGACAGCATCAGTACCAACATAAGGCAGTCACCCACCACAGAACGTAGCTTCAACTTCAATACAACCCTCACGAAGGAAATTAAAACAGAGGACACGTCTTTTGAACAACAGATGTCCAAAGAAGCATTTTCCTCCACTTCTGCATCTAACACTCTCACCCTCACTACTGGTTCAGGTTTGCTTCCATCTGGAGGGGGTCTGAGCCCAAGTACCACCTTGGAGCAGATGGACTTCAGTGCCATTGACTCCAACAAGGACTATTCTTCCAGCTTCAATCAGACAGTCCAGAGCCCTCACGTTCATCAGACCCCTTCCCCCAGCTTCTTTCTGCAGGATGCCAGCAAACCTCTTCCCCTTGAGCAAAACACCCACAACAACCTGAATGACACAAGTGGCTCATTTGTGAATACAATAGGAATCCCCAGTGTGAAAACAGAGTCCCCATCCCAAACCACTTCCAACTGCAATGGCACGGTGGAAACCAGAATAGAGTCCACCTCTTCTCTCCAGCTCATGCAGTTCCAAGCAAATTTCCAGGCTATGACTGCAGAAGCTGAAGTTCCCATGGAGACCTCCCAGCAGGCAGAAGGGAATGAAAATCTACTTAAATCAGGGGATCTTCAAGCCTGCAGCACAGAACACTACTTGCAACCTGAGACCAATGGAGGTATCAGGAATGGGAACAATCTCCCTATTCTCCAAGGAAACATGGTACAAGGACTCTATCCTGTGGCCCATCCCAGCTTAAATAACTCCTCCAACATGGAGCTTAACTTGGACCACTTTGACATCTCCTTCAGCAACCAGTTTTCTGATCTAATTAATGATTTCATATCTGTGGAAGGTGGGAGCAATGCCCTCTATGGACACCAGTTGGTGTCAGGTGACAGTGCCGGACTCTCTCAGCCTGAAGACAGTAACAGAACAACCTACAACCAGGCTGAAATGTGCATTCCTTGCTGCAGTCCTCAGCAAGCCAACATGCAGCTCAGCAGCACAGAGAATGGAGCCAGCACGATGGCATACATGCATGTGGCTGAGGTGGTCTCGGCAGCTGCAGCACAAGGCACTTTGGGGTTGCTACAGCAGAGTGGGCGCTTGTTCATGGTGACAGATTATTCACCAGAATGGTCTTACCCTGAGGTAAGTTAGGGCTTTTAGTCCTTAAGATTACTGCCTCATCCTTACTTGCTTTGTTAATAACAGCTCCAATAACTGTTTTGTTAAAGCTTTGACAAGGTTTTAAACACATTTATCTTAGGAGAAAGAGCATCCAAGGCCATTTGCATGTCTCAGTGTACTTTTAATTAAGCACTCTGTCACCCTGACAGGGCCTTTTCTTCACCTAGAAACGTCTGAACAGAAATGTTTTGTTTCATTGAAAGGCCAAGTATTCCCACATGATGGCCTCGTGCACAGCCTTACTGCACTGAACTGCGTGTGACGGATCTTGCTAACGATGCAAAGTAGTGTTTATCCTATGTCAGGTTATGTCCTGGCACAGCTCTGCAGTCTGTTCCTTCCTGCTCACGTGTGTGAGGAGCACTCCCATCACGGCATGGTGAATGTCCTGGTGGTGCCCAGCTCCACGCTGAGCCTCAGGGAGGAGGCACAAGGACTGTGGGAGGAACTCAACAGTACTTCTGCAGATCTGTGCTGGATGCAGCTGGTGCCTTTCCCGCCAGCAGGAGAGGCGGATGCCAAAGCCTTGCACTGTGTGACTGACACAGCACTACTGAGACCCATGTCAGGGCAGGGAGAGAGATCTAGGACAGGCTCCAGTTGCTAAAGTTGGGGTTGAAGGACCCCCTCGTACCCCTGCTTTGCACAGCCCCTTCAGGGACACCCCTTGTGACCATGCTTACTTTTTTAACCAATTTCTCAATACCCAGTAAAGTGCAAGGTGTATCACTGCCAGCAGGAGGAGGGAACAGAGCGAGTGAAAAGAAACAGAGATGCTCTGTTATGGAATGCTGTTTGCATTTCCCCTATAGTGTAAGGTTTGGTGGCCAGAGAAGGGCACCACGAGGTGTCCCAAAGGTTGCAGCAGCAGCAGCTGTGAGCAGAGCAGTCATGGCGGGGCAGGTGGATGGAGGTATTCAGGCTCTGCAGAGCACTGGGATGTTGCTGGGTACTGGTGCCAAAGATCTGTATCTGCCCTCATGATTTTGTTTGCAGTTTAACCATTTTGGTGCATGGTCCTCTCTGGATAGGGCTTTTATCATGACGCTCACTTTTTTTCCCCTCTGCTCACTGTAGGGAGGAGTGAAAGTTCTAATCACTGGTCCATGGCAAGAAGCCAGCAATAATTACAGCTGTCTGTTTGATCAGATCTCAGTGCCTGCATCTTTAATTCAGCCAGGAGTACTGCGCTGCTACTGCCCAGGTAAGGAATGGCTCTTCTGCAGCTGGTGGCTTCAGAGGAAGTTCTTGACTTTCAGTGCATGCAGAATAACTGATCCTTGCTTGCTACTTGAAATGCTGTGAAGTTGGTTAATTTTGGAGCACATGGGATCCTACCTCATGCCAAGAGAACCTATTGTATGGCTCCTAAATGTGTTTTAAAGCCTGCCTGTTTTAAAATGCAGATTGACATTTTGGACTCTTCAGTAGTCACAAAAATATTGCTGAGTGCACCCTCTGCTCTCGTTTCATCTGCTGCCAGGCTGCCCGTGGGGAGTTCACTGACAGTGTTGTATTTTGGCATTTCTGCAGGGAGGTCACTGTCTCACCACTCGTTCTTCTCTTTTAGCTCATGACACTGGGCTCGTGACTTTGCAAGTTGCCTTCAACAATCAGATCATCTCCAATTCTGTGGTGTTTGAATACAAAGCCAGAGCTCTGCCAACCCTGCCTTCCTCCCAGCATGACTGGCTGTCTTTAGATGGTAAGAAGTGCATGATATTCTTTAACTAAGCTCACCAAATGGTAGAATTGTGAATGAAAGGAGCAGCCCCTGGTATGGGAGAGGGACGCAGGGGGCTGAGGCTGAGTCGTGGGGAAGGTCTGTCACTCAGCACTCCATTAATCAAAGCCCTCTTCCTGTTGACAGAAAAAAACATGAATGATCAGAACAGACCTCTGTTAGCTTGATGTCGGCACTGAGGGATGGGAATGTGGGCTTGAGATTTATGTGATAGCTGTGTTTGCAAGTGTTACATTTGGGCACACCCCTGAAATGCATTTTGTAGAGCAGAGATGGGAAGAAAGATAGTAGAAGAGCATGGGAGCCTGGAACAGCGGGCTGGAGGAACTGAATATCCCCACTTACCTGTGCCCACTGGTGCTCCTTCTAAAAGCTATTGGAGAAAATGAGAAGTCAGTACGGCCTGCAAGGAGGCAACAGATCTGCTGGCTGGTCTGTTATTTCTGTACTACTGCATGAAATTCATTGATTTTTTTTGAGAAGTCACCAGGGTGACAATTTGAACAAGATGGGCAGGGCCTTCATTTCCCTTCCTGAGTGTGATTGCTGGAGCAGCTTCCAACTCAGAGCAAGGAGATCTAAGGAAAAGAGCTGGTTTGTTTTAACAGACATGATAGGATGGAAAAGAACAAGCAATACTGCTTTTGTCTTTTTTCACCAGAGAGTCAACTGCTGCAGTGCTGCATTTTATGCACTCTTAGCACAGTCCTTACATGTTCGTGTTAGGGGACCCATTTGTTAAGTGCCTGCTTTCTCTGCTCTGTACAGGAGACAAATATGGTAGGGTCAGATCCAAAGTCTTCAGAGATTTCATTGCTGAGAAACTAATATTAGTGCTGCAAAGTGTTATACGAAAGAAATCACAGGAGCCGTTGTTTGCACTGGGCCGTACTGAAGATGAGCAGTAATGAGCTAATACACTGATTCTGTTTGTTGCTCAGTCAATTAACCTCATCTAATTTCGTCTGTGAGCTGCCAATGTAGTAACTGCAGTTGAGTCACAGAATCGTCACAGAATTGCATGCTCTGGGAAATCTGTTGTGGATGTATTACTTTGATAGGAGCTTGACTTCAAAACGTTGCTGTAATCACAAAGATTTGAAATGTGTGTTACTGTCTTATTATTGCTGCACATACTTTGACAGGCTCGGCAGATATGTAGAACTGATTGACGCCAAGGGGAGAAATACTGAATAGTTTTAAGCTTAATGCAGGCCAGTAGTGTGCAAATGTCGTCAGGTGTTGTTTGAAGGGATTTTGGTGGGCTCCTTCCTTCTGTCTGGGAAGCCTAGGCAGAAGAAGCTGCTCTCATTCAGACATCAGTTAGATGCTTCCTGTGTGCCGGCAGCAGCTGTGAGTCGGGAGCCATCACAGTCCCTGCTCATCGGTGTGTGTGGATCATCGCGCGATCTCTCCAGCGCAGTGTGCAAAGGGGCTGCGTCTTAAAGCTCTTCTTTGGTCCTTTCCTCAGTGCTGGTGGTTTGGAGGAGCTGCAGAAGGTGGCTGAGTGCTGCCTGCTTGTGTTGTCTGTGTGCTGGGGAGCGGGCAGGCTTTCCATGAGTGCTGTGATGTGGAAGGGAGGAGGACTGCAGCAGTGAACAAAGTAGGGCATTGCTAACGGGGGGGAAAAAAAGGGAAAAGGACCGCTGCAATGCAGAGGCCCTTCAGGGAAAAAGACTGAATAATTCTATGTACCATGAGCTATCAGAAGGCTCTGTCGTGGTGCACAGTGCTCTGAAAGCAGCAAATGATATTCTTTTTAACGGACAAGCAACATCTTTGCTTTTATTCTGAGAGTACAGATGTTAGTTCAGCTATAAGCTAATGTGAATTGATTCTACCAGTAGAATAAACACACAAATCCTCATCTTCTCTGTTTGCTTCTAATTGCACTGCATTAAATCCTTGTACTACTGCCAGTTCTGTCGTCTCGAGGGAAGGATGCTAAGGACTCTCCGCAGTCCCAAAATACAGACCAGGATTTTATTATCCTTTCTACTTAATCTGAAGGAACGCTCTGAGTTCCTTTGTGTTTAAATATTTCAGCTATGTGAGCACTGCAGGGTTAACAAACTCCACCATACTGCATGGTGTCATCCCCAAATCCCTTTAAAATAAAGACAAAGACATGCTATGTAGGGGAGGTGTGTGCTGAGGTGACAGTAAATCAGCTGTCTTTTCTCAGCTCTGCAGATACCCGGAATGCTTTATCTTCAGCTTCTTTTCTTCAGGAGGAATCACAGCTCTGGAGAAGTTTCCAAGTTTCCAGCAGCAGGAAAAAAAGAAGCATGAAGGGATCTGTCTGCTCACTGGCATGCATTGGTGCTCCTGCCCCAAGCAGTGCCAGCAGATCTCCCTGTGCCCACACAGCACCTTAGTATGATCTGCTGCTGCTGCTTCCTCTTGTTTGCTGTTGGTAGAGAAGCGCTCTCAAGACAAATGAAAAGCAAACAAAACACTTCTGACCTGAAGGGCAGAAATGAGGAAGGCTTTTTAGTACAGGCTTTCAGTGTGTTTGCTTCCCACTGCAGAATTTGCTGCTTTCAAAAGGCATTTGTAGAGACGGCGTTTGCTTGGCATGGGGTGTGATGGGGCATTTAGAGGGGGCCACTATGAGTTGCTCCTTGGGGCTGTGCTTATTATGCACCTGCAGGAAGGAAGTTGTGAAGGAATAAGTTAAATTGTCAAGGAGAATGTAAAAGTCTGGGTGGGGAACTGAGGGAGCTGAGGGTTTGGGTGTGCATAGGATGGGCAGAGCTGTGGTGGGAACTAAATGGCACTGATAGGAGGGAGCATGACAGGCAGCTCTCCCAGCCCGCTGGTGCTCCGTGAGCTCTGGCTGCCTTTCCCGGGTGGAAGATGCAGAAGCGTGGTGGGTTGGTGCTGTTGGTGTGACAACGGATGTATGCATGGCACCCAGGCAGCCCCCAGGCTGTGTGTGCGGAGCTGGTGGCGTCTTGTTCACCTGGACCTGATGCCCGTTTCTAGCATGGGAGTGTGTGAGATGGAGACAAGACGACCTTGCAGGCACCGTGTGCTCATACTGGTGAGGTCTGAAGATGCATGGAGGCTTTATCTGTTCCGTATTTTCATTGAGACTTGCATTTTTGGTCCCTTTACGTACAGCCAGGCAGCTCCCATACACCTGTTTCTGAAGGCTGCGTTCTGTTGCTCCGACTGCGTTTCGCAGACGCTGTTTTCTGCTTCGCTGCGGTGGAGGCGTGGAGACGGGAGCGCTGCGTCTGCTGCCCGTCGCGAGGCTCCGACCGCTTGCCGGCGGACGCGCCGCGGTGCCCGGACGGCTCCGGACCGCGGGCCGCACGGCGCTCCTCGGGGATTTCACGCTGGCTTTTAACGACGCAAAGAAACCGTTAACGTTCCTTAGCTCCACACGTCGGCCTCGGGGCGCCTACGGAGGGATGAGAGCCGCAGTGCCGGAGCTCGGCCGCTCGGCGCCGGCAGCGCCCAGCCCGGTGCTGGCGGTGATGTCACCCGGGCGGGGCGGGGCCCGGCGGCGCCGGGAGCGGCGCGGAGCGGGGCAGGGCAGGGCCGGGCCGCCGCCCGCGCCGCCGCACACAATGGAAGGCGGCGGCCGCAGCCTCCCGCCCGCCGCAGCCCCGGGCCGCCGCTGAGCGCCGCCGCGGGACGGGGCCCGAATCCCGCACCCCGCCATGGCGGCGCCGAGGGGCCCCGGCGTGGGCTGAGGGCGGAGAGCCGCGGGGCGGCGGACGGCCGCCGTCGGGGCGCGGAGCGGCGGCTCCAGCGCGCAGTGCCGCATCCTCGCGCAGCCCGGAGGCGGTGCTCTCCCCGCGTCGCAGCTCTGCCCGCCGCTCCGCTCCGGCTCCCGCCGCCGCCTCCTCCTCCTCCCGCCGCCGGAACATGGCCCTGCGCGCCGCCGGTCCGCGCTCCGCCGCGGGGAGCGCTCTGCTGAGGCTGCGGCGCGCCGGGGAGCTCCGGCTGGCTGCCGGCGTGCCATGAGCCCGGCGGGAGCCGCGGCAGACAGAGCCGGGCCCGTCCTGCCCCGCCGCCAGGCGCGGGCTGCAGCCGCCGCCGATGCCTTTGTAGGCGCCCAGGTCAGTGTACGAGGGCGGGGATCGCCGCTCCGTTCGCGGAAGGCTGCGGGACGCGGCGGCGTTTGCTCGGGGTCGGGTCCGTCGCCGTGCCCTCCTCCCTCTTCGCCGCTCCTCGGGCGCCGTCATGGAAAGACGCGGCTCCCGGCCCGGCGCTCGCAGGAGCATCGCACGTGCAGAAGCGCGCTGTAATGCCTCCGGCTCGCGGTTTCCCATTTGGGTGGGCATGGCGAACGGGATGGCCCAGACTTTCCCGGAGGGGATGCTGTAGGCACATCTGTTCCCAAAATCCTTTGGCAAAGCGGCTCTTAAGGAAGAGCGGGAATTCGGACCATCTGGGCTACTCTCAGTTGAGAAATGGGACAAACGGGATAGATGTCTGCTTCCAAAAGCTCCCGGTGTCGGAGATCTCGGCCTCTTTTTTCTGCCCGGTTCCAGCAGGTCGGTTTGTTTCAGTTCTGCGCAAAGCTGCTGCAGCCCGTCTTGGAGGAGGCAGACGCTGCAAGCACCGCGTGCCGCCGTGCCGATGAGCAGCGTGCCGGGAGCTGATGGTCCTTGTGTGCTTCTGTGCACATCCCGTACGGTGTTGGCACCTGTGGGAAAGCACAGCAAATTTCTGAGCAGCTGGGAAGTGCTTTACGGAGGTTATGGACAGAAATGGGCACTTGAGGGGGGAAAGTCAGCCTGACCCCCCCATCTCCTGCTGAGTTGGAATGGCACAACACAGAGATTCCGTTCTGTTCCAGAGATCCACAGACCTTCACCTGTCTCTTGGGCTCAGTGTGAACTGTGTTTTCCTGTACTTGTGGCATTTCTCTCTGCCTGACTGCAATCTCCCTGACAAGCAGGGTTGTCCATATGTTGTACAAATATTAAGGAGAAATTTTAAGTGCTTTTGTTTGATGGTTGAGATCGCTGCCTGTGAGCTCCACCATTAAACAGACCCAGCCAGGATGTTACTCACAGTGATGACTCCTCAAAAACAAAGCAGGTCAAGCCAATGCTTCGACTTGCTTGGTGTTTTTACTGTACAGAGGAACCAAGCAAAATGTTACATGCAAACAACCAATCATTTGTAAAATAGGAAGAGAGCAGTAATGAAGTGCTTTTTGGGTTCTTTACTCGTCCAGTAAAGTAGCATGTAGAGGTGAGAAAAGCAGCTCAGTGCAGATCCCTCAGAGACACAGTGTGAGCCATTGCCCACCAAATGGGGACACTGTTGCCACTCTGTGTAGCCTGAAAAGTGAGAATCCCAGCATGAAATACATTGGATAATAATTGTCTCTAGGAGAGGGCTTGGGTTGGAAGATGGGGATGGACATGTGTGCTGTCACAGGGAGCGCTTCAGTTGTGAATGCCTTCTGCAGCACAAGGTTTGGTTCTTGTTTTATCTGTGTCATTTAGGGTGGGAGCTCCACCCTTTAAGCATCTTATTGCTTGCTGGTGGGATGGCGTGGCTGGGCAGCACTGTGGCTGTGTGGTTTTGGTGGTTCTGTGGGGAGATTGTCCCACCTGGTATCAGCAATCACGTGCATTCGCAGCAGGGACCCCGTAACCTTCACACGTGGGAGAAAACTTGGGATGTGTTGGAAAGTGCTGTGTTGGCTGCCTTCTAACACAGGGTGCGTATGTGCAGATTCAGACTGAGCTCTGCATGGGTCGGGTTCTGGCTGAGCAGCTCCTCCTGCCCCTCTGAGGAGAGTTTTGCTGCACTTCCAAGTTTGTGACCCATGGGGCAGTGCCTCGCTCCTGCGTGAGCACTGAGAGCACTAGGAGTGCAAACGGCCTTTGGCACAATGGAGCAGGTTTCCTGAGTTAATATGTTGTCCAGGAGTTACGTGTGGGCCTTCAGAGTTGGGCTTTTGTGGTTAAAATTGGAGAATAATAATCTCCAGAGAAGACTGCAATTTCAGGTTGTTTTCTGTAAGTTATGAGGTGTTTCAGATACAGAAATGCAGTCGTTTTCATTGACTTTGTTGGAAGCAGCCTTGAAGAACCCACAAATTCCCCTCAGTCTGCAAATTATGTTACATTGGCAAAAGGTATTTGGTTCTGTGTTGCCCCAGGTTTTAAAGAGGTGAGAGTACATGGGATGAGGTTGAACCTTGGGCAGCACAGGCATGCACCCATTTTTGCTGCGTTTAGAAGTTTGGTGCTTCCAGTGCAGGGAACCTTACACAGCTCAGATTTCCTGTGTAATGTAAGCAGAGAAAAGCTTGTTTTGGTAACTTGATTTATGTGCAGCTGAGCGTTTGTCTTCAGTGCGCAGGTACTTGCCATGAGACCCCCGTTGGAGATGAAAGATAAGAATGTAGAAACACTGGTGATTTATTTTCCCTGAGTACTAAGTGCTGGCTGCCCACGGCCCCTGAAGTGAGCCCAAACACAAGGATTTGCATAGCAAAATAAAAAATAATAAAGGATAAATGGTCTTGGACGTCCTCTGTGGTGCTTACAGCCCTTCTGTTAATTATTGCAACGCGAAGCAGTTGTTGGTAAAGGTAAAAACAAATTACTGCTCCTTCCTCCCCCCCCTTTTCATTTGCATTTTCATCCTGTGTTCATTGCTGAGACTTGGCTGATAATGCCTTTCTGGCAATCAGCATGTTGAACCCAGGGTACACAAATGGGCAGTGATGTTTCACGGCAGTTTCCTGGTATCATTGCACACTGCATTTTCAACTTGCTGATGTCTGTGCAAATACGGCCCAGCAAATCCCGATATGGAGACTGTAGAGGTGACAACGTTTAGATTGAAGCTGACAGAGTTGGGGCTTAGAGAATGGTGCTCCCTAAGGGGTTAAAAGGATCCTGAGCAAAAGGAAACGTGTCAGGTCCGATGGTTGCATGGAGCTGTAGCTGCACGCATGCAGGTCCTGGAGCCAGCTGCAGATCAGCAGTGCTGTGAGCAGGTGGGCTGCTTTGAGTCTGCCATGGGAACAGGTTCTCTCTGCAGCTCTGTCAGTTTCTCGGCACTGCGGGAGCTGTGCTGACTGTATGCACAGAATTCTGCCACTGCTATCAGCTGCGTCTTTGTTCTGTGCTGAGGTGGTGCATTACGTCACCTGCAAAATGGGCAGCGTTAGAGACTTGCTGTGTATTCTCACCCCGTTTCCATCTTTGCTGCCTGGAGCTTTCTAGTTCAGGCTGGAGAAATAGCAGCAGCCTCTGCCAGCCTTCAGGAGGGCTCCCTTTGCTCTGTGCTGAAGCTCCAGAAGATTTCATTCCCTTCCCTCTTTATTAATAGCAGCATGGTTCTGATCTGCCTTTAGACTGAGCGGTGATTGACAATTAGCCATGGAAAACACCATTGTCCCAGCAAGAGTCCGAGAGTTACAGGTTCAAATTCCTGATATCTGTTCTTCAGACTCCTGTTGGGTCTGACAGAGACTCTCTGCTACCCAAAACCTGGCAGTGCTGTCCTAAATGATTCCTGGGAGTGCTGCCCACGTGTCTGAATAGGAATATTAGATGCTGTTTTCAAACAGTTTCCTGAAAAATGTTCCCTTGTTCTTCATTTCTGTCTGGGGACAGTGGGACAGTGACAGTCGTCCCTTCGGTGACTTGGCAGAAGGTGTGAGGAAGCACTTAATGTGAGCAGGAAGGGGGGAGCTTCGTCACTGAGACTGCAGTCCTTTGGGGGAAGCCTGGAAGATGCGCACAGGCCTGGGGTCCCATTTCTGTTCTATGTTTGGAGCTAGTAAAGAGAAATTACATATATATCAATATGTATCTCAGTCTGCACTGCCTACTGTTGTATCTCATGGGAATCGTTTTCTGCTGCTGTTTGGGGGCATACAGAACTTCTGTCTGTATGACGTTGGTGGCTCGGATGCGATGGCTGGGCTGCGTCGCTCCTCCCGGCTGTAATAAAGCACGAGTGCTGGCAGCCCGGGCCGCTGGTGTGGGATGCAGCACGGAGCTGCTGCCCTGCAGATGCAGCTGTGTCCCCACAACGCGAGCTGTGTGTCACAGCCCTCAGCTGAGGGATGGCTCAGTGCCGGGTCGCTGCCGGGCTCTGCAGCGTACGTGCTGTGCATGGCGATGGGAAGGAGGAGGCAGAGGAGCAGACTGCACTGCAGCACACTGCAGCACTGCCTGAACAAAGGCTGGCTGAGCAACACGGCTCCGCTCACTGCTGCGCGCTGCCTGCAGCTGAGAGGTGAGGCTGTCAGAGTGCATCTGCATGACGGCGTTTCCAAAGGGTTTGCAATTCACAGGGCAGCTGAGCTGTTAATCGGGCACTGATAACAAGGCAGATGACTGCAGTGGGAAGCGGCATTCTCCTGTGATCCTGGCTCCTGGGCGGCCCGGGTGGGACTGTGGGGTCAATGATTGAGGTTGGCAGAGACCTCTGGAGGTCATCGGGTCCAACCCACAGCTCAAACCCAGCCACAAAAGTGCTGAATTACCACATATTTGTGTTGGAGCTGAGCTGATGTCTGCTGCCAAGGCATAGCTGGGATGGACGCTTTGTTGTTGTTGTTCTCTAATGGCTGGGAAGTCAGAGCTGACATCTCACTGACAAATGGTTAGGTGACGAAGGGAGACTTTGCTTTGTTTCGTTCCTCAGTTAATTGATGCCTGACTCTTGGGTTAAACAGAGGCCATCCGGGTGGATCTGGCAAGTGGGAGTTGTGCTGATGAGCACTTTGGGGAACCTTCATGGCAATTTTTTCTAAGAGTATCGCTGACAGTCTGTCACACTTTAAACTACACTACTGGAACCGTGAAGAAACTTTCTGAGGGGCAGGGACTCTTAGAGCGTGCTGCTAGGGGCTCTGTATGTAAGCAGATCTCTCAGACAGGACTTTCTCTTTTAGAACCCAATAAAAACATTTTAATTGTCATGCACAGATTCCTGTTGCTGCTAACGGGCTTTGCTAGGGAGCATTTGAGCTGCACTGACTGGACACAGACACAGAGATATCTGCTGAGATCACAGAGATCTCTACAGCCTCAGTTTAGCAGTGCCCTCATGCAGTGCTGCAACCTCATTCTCCCCACTCCACTGTTCAAGCAATACGAGCCGCATCACAGTGCTGGCTTACAGTGGGAGGTGAAAATAACTAACACATCCTTTAGATTTGTGCAGAGACTGCACGACTCTTCTTTGCAGGAGGTGTTCCTGGTTTATCAGTGCCCATCCCCTGAGATTTCTGGTAATCCTGTACCAGGTGGCTTGGCTGAAGTTGTCCAAGGAAGTCCATCTGTCAGGTCAGGAATGTGGACCTTTTTAACGGCTTCTTATTCTGAGTGCAGAAAGAAGCAAAGCTGTCTTTTTCTTCCAGGTGCCATTATTGCATGGAGACAGTTGGACTAGATGATCCTGTAGGTCGTTTCCAACCTTGTGATTCTATGATTCTATGATTGCATGGTTTTAGGAGGCAAGCCAAGCTTAATTCAGTACTCCTGTGAGAACAGAGAGGTTTTCTCTAAAACTGAGAGTATTTCTGTGTGGTTCTGTTGAGATGCTGCATGAACAATTCCATTTGCTCAGGATTTACTTGCATATTCAAACCTGAAGAGGCAGAATGCTGCAGGGCACTCATGCCTGTGCTCCAAGTGGAGCAGATCTCCTTTGTGATTTTCAGGGCGGTTGGTTGTGGCTCTCCACAGTAGGCTGCCAAAAACTGAACTTCCTTACTATGGAAATGCCCTTATTCTGCCTTTTTTCAACCCAGATAACCAGTTCAGGATGTCGATACTGGAGCGCCTTGAGCAGATGGAGAGGAGAATGGCGGAAATGACTGGCTCCCAGCAGCACAAGCAAGGAGTGGGAGGCGGGAGCAATGGGAGTGGGAATGGAGGAACACAGGTGCAGGTATGGACCCTGCTGTGCCCAGTCACAGTAGCTTTATGGTTTCTTACCAGCATTTGTATGTGACGGGGGTTGGAACGAAGTGTAGTTGTTTCTTTTTAAGCCACAAGGCTTCTTTGTGGATGTCTTTAAGAGCAGTTGGCTTGCACTCGCATTTGCTACTGTCTCATTACTTCTGAAAGGGAAAGTTGCCTGCTCAGGGCAAGCACAGCTCTGCTCCATGGTTAACATGGGCTGTGTGTGGTGTTTCAGTGCGTTTCTGGGACTGGAACCTTGGGCAGCTGCTTTGAGAGCCGCGTGGTGGTGGTGTGTGAGAAGATGATGAGTCGTGCTTGCTGGGCAAAGTCCAAACACTTGATCCATTCAAAGACTTTCCGAGGAATGACGCTGCTCCACCTCGCTGCTGCCCAGGGCTACGCTACGCTGATCCAGACCCTCATCAAGTGGCGGTAAGACGCGGCCTGCTGGGCTCTTGGGTATCAATATAGACATGATGGAAACATATGTAAGCTCTGCTTGCTCCAGATTTCTGCTTGTCCCTTACAAACTGCTCCATGTGTCCCTTACAAACAAATCAGCCAAATCCCCAAACTTCTTCCTCTCCCCTTGTCTGGGAGGACCTGTATCTTGTGACAGTGCAGTTACTGGTCATGTCATACTTAAAGTCTCTATTGGGGGTACCATGGGTAGTAAATGTGTGTCGTGGGCACATACGTGGCCACTTCATTGTGGTGTGATGTGCTGGGTAAAGCTGTACATTTAGGAAATTATCCTAACATCATTTGTTCCGTTGTTTCTTCTGCAGCACCAAACACGCAGACAGCATTGATCTGGAGCTGGAAGTTGACCCTTTGAATGTGGATCATTTCTCCTGCACCCCCCTGGTAAGCAGCAGAGACAGAAACTTCTGAAGGTGTCTGAGGACCTTCTGGAGTCCTTTCTGATGTTATTTTTTTGATGTATGTTACACTCTGAAGAGTGGATGTTTCCTGCATGTCCTTGCTGTGTGAATGTTAAGATGTGGTGCTACCATCTTCCTAGAGCTTTGGTGGCAGTCCTGACGGAAAGATCCTGAATGGTTGGGTTGAAAGGGACCTTAAAGCCCCCTCAGTTCCAACCTCATGCCATGGGCTGCTTGCACCCCTCCATCAGGCTGCCCAGGGCCCATCCATGGCCTCAGGCACCTCCAGGGATGGGGCACCTACACTTGTCTGAGCAGCCTGTGCCATGGTAAAGAACTTCTTCCTAATATCTAATCTAAACTCCTTGTAATTGAGTAACATGAAGGCAAGGGACAGACAGGTGGTTCTACTTTTGTCTTTTACCCAACCTCTACTCGCCAGTGTCATGCTGGGGTTAAGGCCTTTACATGCCTTCTTTCAAATTTTCCTCTTCTGCTATAGAGGTTGTAAAGTCATCATGATATCTTGTTTGTGGAGTCATGACTAAGAGCTTAAGTAAAACGCCAAAGCAGGTAGAACCAGAAGTGCCAGTTTACAACAGCAGAGTGTTTGATTGTATTGTTCCCAACCTTCAGAGATCTCCATTTGAGGCCGTTCTTTCTCTGCAGTGATGTTAGTGTGCCTGACACAGCTAAAAATCAAGGCCTCGATGGTGAGAAACTGTCAGCTTCATTTGGTGGATGGAGGTTTCTCACTTAATGGAGAGAACAGCATGCATCTAATCCTCTGTAGTGACTTTTTGTTTGTAGAAGACATCTGTAAAAACCCCTTGGTGGTGATGCATGCTGTGATTTGCTAATCAAATTTCTGTGACCTGAGGATAAGACTCCACTGCATTATTCAGAAGAGAAGGAAATAACAAATCTCACAATGGGTCAATTGTTTTTTTCAGATGTGGGCATGTGCCCTGGGCCACATGGATGCAGCTGTTGTGCTGTATAAGTGGGACCGCCGAGCCATCTCTATTCCTGACTCCCTTGGGAGGCTGCCGCTGGCAATTGCCCGCTCTCGGGGCCACGTGAAGCTGGCAGAATGCTTGGAGCAGCTGCAGCGTGATGAGCAAACTCAGCTTGGACAGAACCCCAGAATTCAGTGCCCCTCGAGCACCGACTCCAGCACAGAAAGCTGGGTGTCCCAGTGGCACAGTGAGCTTATTGCATCTCAAGAGCCTCAGAAGGGAGTCACTGTGATTTCCAGTACCAACACAGGTAAGAAAAACCCAATGGCACTGTTTGCTGATTATGTGATATGTGAAATCCTAGAGCAAGGAGCTCACCTGGGTGGCTGATGCCACCAGTAGCCCTGCTGTCCATGCTTAATTATTTTTTGTGGGCTCTCTATTATGCGCTTCGTGCTCTTTTGTAAATACTGAAAAAAGGAGTGAATGTCTGCCTTAGGAAGATGTGTGTATCTGAAGAATATTTGGGATAATATCCTCCTTGGGTGTTGATTCCTTTGCATACACTGTTGGGTGTTGCAGAGCACAGCATGAACTTCTGTCTGCTGCTCTGCAGCAGAAGTTGTTTCTGTGGCAATCACCTGTTGCATACTTCACTTGACCATTGATCTGTTTGTTTTCAGAGCTGAGACGACCAAGATCAGAACCTTCCAGTTACTACAGTAGTGAGACTCAGAAAGATTACCCTGCACCCAAAAAACATAAGCTGAGCCCTGAATATTTTCAAGCCCGGCAAGAGAAGCTGCTTTCCACTGCACTGAGCCTGGAACAGCCAAGTGTCAGGAAGCAGAACTCCAGCTCCAAGCAGTCCACCACTGAGACAATCAGCCCCAGTGAAGGGATAAGGGACTATGGCCGGGAGCTCTCCCAGCACATCCCAGAAGCAGCTGGATACCGGGGTTCTGGCAGCCAAGCGGGCATCAAATGGAATCCAAAAGACATTTATATTGGTGTGTCTGCAGTGCAGTTGGTGGGGAGCCAGAAGAGCGCTGCGCTGGGGAAGGACGCTGTGGGCCATCGGCTACGCCAGCGAGAGCAGATGAATGTGCTGATGTTGGCTGACAGGGAGTTGGTGGATGCAGAGCTCTTGTCCTATAGGGACAGTGTAGGGGATGAGGACTGCTTACGCCACATGGATGACTTGCAGGTAAACAGCCGTAGCACTGCGGTGGTGGTGAGGTCAGTGTGTAGTTTCTCCTGTTGTCAGAGGGTGTCCTTCCACCCCACACACAAAGGTTGATGGGTAGCGGCTTGGTGCATACCTCTCACCAGACCTCTCAGGTTCCCCACACAGTGAGAAAATGGTCTGGGGAGTGTGAAACCCTGCAGTGCCTCGTCAGAAGGGACAAAAGTGAGTGAGCTTTGGTTAAGGATTTCTCTCCGGTGCCGAGCGGTGCGTGTTTTCTCTGAGGCACAAAGCTGGGTTGTCACATACAAACACAAGGCTTTTGTTACCAGGCAGCAAAAGTTTGCTCTCCTCTCCCCCAGGTGAACATGATGACACTTGCAGAGCACATTATTGAAGCTACGCCTGACAGGATCAAGCGGGAGAATTTTGTGCCAATGGAGTCACCGCAGGTGGAGAGAGCAGAGAGTGCTGCCATGAGCACCACGATGAGCTGGCTGGCCAGTTACCTTGCTGATGTCGATCATCTGCCGAGTGCTGCACAGATAAGGTCAGTGTGAGTTGGGGCGCTGGGCTTTTTAGGTGGGCTCCGTGCTGGGCAGCTGCAGATGCTGTTTCTCAGTGGCACTTAATGCGGGTGCTTCCAGCCAGGCGTGCACTCATGCACAGATGTATCATTGCCAGCACAGCTGCACATTCATGGAAGAATGGAAGTGCGTGCAGGAGAGAAGTGTAGCACAATCTCAATAATGCCACGAGGGCTGACTCCTGACTTCTTTTCCCAAAGCCATGCAGTGCAATACAGGCAGGCTTAGAAATGCAGGATGTTGGTTGCAGAGGCAGAGGGGTGCTTGAGTTTCTCCCTTAAACTCACAAATGTTGAATTCCTTGTCTGTGATGCCAGTCCAGCTCCTTTGCAAGCAATAACTCCTCCTGTGATTTGGTATTTCAGAAATCTGTATAGCGAACCCTTGACCCCTTCTTCAAACACCAGCTTGAGCCCTGCAGGCTCACCCATCAGTGAAATAGCTTTTGAGAAACCCAGCCTTCCTTCGGCAGCAGACTGGTCTGAATTTCTGAGTGCATCCACCAGCGAGAAGGTAGAAAATGAGTTTGCACAGTTAACTCTGTCTGATCATGAGCAGAGAGAGCTCTATGAAGCTGCCAAACTCGTCCAGACAGTCTTCAGGAAATATAAGGTATGTGGCCAGAACATAAAATGTCTTCCTTATCAGATGTGAGAGTACAGTTTGTTGCAGAATAAAATGTGGGTAATATCCACCCCAGGGTCAAACAAAAATTTGTTTCTGTCGTAATGTTTTCAGTGCTGCTAGCATCCACTCGTTGGTGTTTGCATAGCATCTGCTGTACCAGGGAGAGTATCCCATGCTGTAGCATGTGTTCTGTGCTGGCACAACACTCGAAAATGTCCTCCAAGTACAAGCTCTGGTGAGCTGCATGCTCAGCCCAGGGATCAATTTTAAGGGTTTTCTCTCTTACATGAATTGAATGTAGAGGTGTCTCTGGAAAATGTGTAGATGTGGATCAGACCATGTAACAGTAGCAGGAGGGATATGGAAGTTGGTGCCCTGCAAACTGCTGTGAGCTGCTGTTAAAAACCACTGTCCTGTTTTGGTGCAGTCTGATGATTGCTGCTTTGCTTTTCCACGCAGGGTCGTCCACTCCGGGAACAGCAAGAGGTGGCTGCTGCTGTCATTCAGCGTTGCTACCGAAAATACAAACAGGTAATCAAGGAAGTCAGATTTTCTGAACCAAACAAGTGCCACAAACACAGCCTTCTGTAGTGGGAATTTCTCCTGTATGCATTTTACCCTGCTCAGGCAGAATTAAAAAGGGAAGAAAATGTGTATCCTGAATCTTAATTCAGAGGATTCTTCCTTGAAAGGATTTGGCTTTGCTGTGAGACAGAGGGCAGTAACATATCCTGTATTGGCCAACATGCATGCCTGGTGAGACTGTTCTCTAACTAGTTGGTTGCCAAATTTCATTGTGAAATTGAAGTTGGTTTTGCCTTGGATGAGGGTGAAGATGAAAAATGAGGTTGTTTTATTTTGCACATCCTAAACTTCTAAGCAAGTCCTGTGCTAAAGCTCATTGCTGCTTGTTCCAGGACTGAGACTGTTCTCCAGTCTCTGGTTGGAGACAAGTTTTTAGGCTGAGTTCTCAACCCCAGAACAAGAAGTTTGTTTTGGTTTGGCTTGGGTTTTTGGTGGATGCTGCAGCCCACCTTGTGCAGTTGCTGTGCCTTCGACTCGAGCTGTCTGCTCCACACAGGCATGTGGTGTAAGATGAAAGGCAAGATGCTGAACTCTTTTCCAACCTTCAAAAACATTTATTTGAGAAGCATTTCTGGTGCCCAATGACCGCGTTGTGCTGTACATTCAAACTGTCCCGTGTCGGTCCTGGAGTGATGCTTCCTGTAAACAGGAAACCGAATTCCTTTCAAAAGCTGCTTGGCAAACTGTTCTGTCTGGGATCCTGGAATTTCCTGGAATCGCATCTTTTTGAAAGAAGATGGGTTAATTTTTTTTTAATATATATATATTTTTTTCCAATTCTTTATTTGTAGAACTAACATTAACTGTGTATTTTCTGTTTCTCCCTAAGCTTACTTGGATAGCCTTGAAGGTAATACAAACACTGTTTTGGGAACCGTTCCCGTTGGGTGAAAAGCTTTCACGTTCAGTATAAAGCAGGAGAACTGGCATTCAGTGAAATGTTTTCACAGTATCTGTGGCAGATAAATCACTGACAAACCAAACCTCTCCAGAAGGGGATGCAGGGGCTGCTGTGCCACAGCATGTCGGCGTAGAAAGACGCTGGAAAAAGCAAATCTCCTGCTTCTACAGAAGCTCATATATACAGTGATGGGCTGAGGTGCAGGCAGTGTTTTGGAGTTTGTTTCCAGAAGAGGAGCTTTCCTTTGCTGCTGCTCATTAGCTGTCACTGTGATCCTTGCCTTGGCATTCAGGGAGTGTAGGGGAGCGCCTGTCCCAACCATGCAGCCACTGCTCTCTGTGCTCTGCCTGCTGCCCAGAAGGCTTTGACTGTTGGCATTTAGGATCACTGTGCCATGGATTCCTTAGACCACCATCTCCTGTGTGGTGCTGCACATGCTGGAGGCACAGCCACTCTTACTTTGGTCGCTGCCAGTAATTTTCTGCTGTAAAGACAGATTTTCCAGCTACACAGCGTCTTGCTGTAAGCATTCTGAAATCAGCTGAGCTTTTTCTAAAGCTCACCAGGATGCAAGGCGTGCTTTTCCTGGAGGGAATGCATCCCCAGTTGATTTTCCATTCTCAGCTTCCTCTGGCCTCTGTTGGGGTGAGGCAGAGGTTGGGTCATTTCTCCATCTTTCCTCTTCTCAGGGAGGGAAAAGAGGAGGAGAGGCAGTTGTGGGCAGGCCAGAGACTCAGGAGCAGAGCAGGTAATGCCATCCAAGTGTGAACGCTGCTGGGCTCTGCATGCAGAGGCTGTGATTTTCTCTTTCACATGCCATACTCTGCTGCTTTGTCACTGCATTACTGAGATCAGCGCAGGCCTATGAGGACATTGGAACAGTCGTAGCTCACATCACCATTTCAGACTTAAACCCTTCTATTCGGGGGTTTGTAACTCAGCCACAGAAGTGCCCTCTGGGCTAAAAATTGGAAGAAAAAACACGGCCAACCTGCGAGCAGACTTATTTAAAATAGCTCATTTAAAACTGCAGTCTGCTCTATTTAATTACAAATGTATAAAAGCAGGAGAAGGAAAAAAAGGAAAGAAATAATTACAAAATATAAGTGCACCTAATGACTGCTTCAATTCCAAAAAGTGAAATTTGGTAAATGGTGGTCTGTGATAGTACTGGAGGGATTTCTTGGTTCTTGTGGGATCATGTTGGGATTTTTTTATTCGTTTGCTTTTTTATTTTTGCTTTCCCACCGGACACATAAAGTCCTCTAAAATATCTTCAGGCGTTGCCCCGTACAGGGCTGCGTCTGTGTCCCATCTGCCCAATACAGTGAGCAGATGTCAGAGCTGCTAAAATGAACTTCCTGGAACAGCAGGAAGTCACCAAGTTGTGAATGTGATAAAGCTTTCCAAGTAACCTCTGTCATAGTGTCAGCTCAGAGGTGTGAGAGCAACTTCTTTGTACTATTTTGCATCTCTATTACTCTTATAAAAGATGGCTGTTAAACAATAGGTGTGGTGTTGTTTGATCTCTGCTGAGCAGCCTCCTACTTGCTTGTTTTAAAGGGGAAAGGGCGTACCATACAAATTGGCTTTTAAAGGCTTCCTGCTTCACTGGGAAGTGTGTGGAGAGAAGCAACACTGCGGTGCTGCAGAGGGTTTCCAATGCAAGTGGCTGCTTGTAGAGGTTTCCAGGTTCAGTCAGTGCTGGTAACAGACTTCAAACACAATTAGTTTTGTCTGTGCCATAGGCTCGGTCTTAGACTTGCTAAATTACTGTGGTTTTTGGTTTAAGTGAGAGTGGAATGTTACTCTATTTGAGATGTTTGGACTGAAACGGATACGTGAGCAACCCAGATGTTTGCAGCACTCTGTGATGGCATGGACAAAGCTGATTTAATTTGGTTCTTCAAAATGTTGTCCTGGGACAGTGAAATACACCTGTGAACAGCAAATAAGGTTCTGAAAGTAACTCCTTTGAAAGATATGATTTAGTGAGAGCTTTAAGAAGGTTCTGCACCTATTTCACAGTTCTCATCGGCTGTTGCCTTTTTTCTCAGAGTCCCAACCAGTCAGTAGGTGCTCATTTGTTTTCCACTGTGTCTCAGTGGCACGAGAGCCTTTTGCTATAGGAATTTGCTTCTCACTGGGGCTTTTGGAGTGCCTCAGCCTCTCTTTGTTTCTCTCCTAGTATGCACTTTATAAAAAGATGACGCAAGCTGCCATTCTTATCCAGAGCAAATTCCGAAGCTATTATGAGCAGAAGAAATTCCAGCAGAGCCGACGGGCCGCGATGCTGATCCAGCAGTACTACCGCAGCTACAAAGAATGTGGGAAGAGGAGGCAGAACCGTCGGACGGCCACCATTGTGCAGCAGAAACTCAGGTGAGCTGCCAGGCTGTTAGAAACCACCAGGATACGTGTGTGTCATTGCTTAGATCAGAGCTGCGCTGTAATGGACGTAGGTGGTGGGATAAGTACCATGTTTTGTAGGATAATTATTCTTGCATTTAGTGCTAGTCCCCCCTTTTTCGTTTGTGCTTCAAAGTTGGGTTTTTTTTGTGTGTGTGTATGTTTAGAAGCAGTCTGCTTACCAAGAAGCAGGACCAAGCTGCTCGCAAGATTATGCGGTTTTTACGACGCTGCCGCCACAGGTATGACATCACCCTCTGGTCAATGCCCTTCAGCAGAGCAATGTGATGTATTCATGTGTGTCAGCAGTGAGTGCAGTGTAAAGGGGAGCAGAATCGATTATATTCAGATCTTTTATGGAATAACACAGCACAGCTGCTTTCAAGATGAACTGGCAGAAAGGAAATCTCTAACTTAGGAATGCTGCAGAAAGGCAGTCATCACACTGAGCTACACTGCTGGTATGGTAGAGCACCCAAGGTTGTGCTGGACAGACTCGGGTGGAAGTTTGAGCAAAGGAAGGCACAAGATTCTTAAAGTTGGACTTGAGGAAGCTTGAGGGGGGGGGAAAAAAAAGGATATCCTTTGAAGGATAGCAGCAATGCATGAGTGCTGCACTGACCTGTGCACTACGCAGAGCATTTGTGGTATGTGCTAAAGAGCAAAATGCGATGTCTGGAATACACCAGAAACCATCAGTGAGGTCACTCTCATCAAATACAGCTTCTTTATAGTAGACAAGTGGAATGTGCTGACAGAGCAGTAGACAAGTTAGTTCAGCCACTCCACACAGACCTCAGCAGCTTGGAGTACAGGTAGATATGACAGTGACTCCTCTGTGCCACTGTGGGAACCTCAGTGCGCTTGCCTACACACTTCCTTGTGCCTCACACTACTGCACCTGCCGTGTGCAGGTGTCTGTTCTGATTTCCTGATTAAAAGGCACCAAATAGCCTAGGCTGCAAACTGTAAATTGCCTGGACAGAAGTGAATTCAGATTTTTCTGACTCTACTCTCCATTCTCACCACATGTGCATTTCATCCTCTAACAGCAGGTCAGACAGTTGGCAAAGAAGCACAGATGGCTTCTCGTTGTCAGTGGGGTGTGTGGAAGGGACTGGAAGGTTTGGTTGTGTTCATTAGGCAGGTTGGTCCCACTGAGGTGGACAAAGACTTGGAACTTCCTTCCGCTTGAGGTCCAGGCAGTCTGTGGAGAAGCCACCTGTGTTGTCATCTGTGGAGTCTGCAGTGCACTCACATTGTTAGATCTCTAGCTGTCAGCTAACCTTGACTCTTCAGGAGTGCCCATAGTTCCAGCAGTTTTTCTTGCCTTCAGTTCATCTTGTTCCACATTCTCAGCATTTCCTATTCCCTTTGCAGTGCAAGACTTACTCATTTGCATCACTACTTACTCATTTGCATCACTGAAGTTTGCAGGCAAATCCTTCTCTTTTGTCTATGCTCTGATCTTTCCTTTGAGCAGCAAAAGCCTCTCTTTTCCTTCTGAAATGAAAACAGTCATCTTCGTGATCAGGTACTTTCTCCAAGCAATCACAAGTGTTTTGGTCTGAACCCACCCTTGTTCCCCAGTCAGACAGTATTCCTGATGATTGCAAACAAACAATGGGTGCTCTGTGCCTGGAGCTCTTTTCATAATGGATGAGTAGATGTTGCTGAAAATAAGAAGGATGTAAGTTTTGGTCTTTGGCTTTAGAGAGGATATTGGAGCTCTACTGGCTGAGTGTTAGCACACGGCATAGGGACAAAAGTGATCATTCATCATCACCAGTCATTCTAATAATCAGACGCATCTTTTCCATTTAACATTGAAAAAAATAGTTGTCCATCTCCTGTTATATTGACAGAAGTCTGGTGAAGGATACGCATCAGCCGTAACGTGGTACCAGCATGACTCAGCACTGAACCGTTGTTTGTAGAGAATGAAAAATAGAACTTTCCTGACCTCACAGCAGATCTTTGCCCATCCACGTTCCTTGCCCAGGCCACGTTCCTTGCTCAGCTGACTTAACTTCCAAACTTTGCTGTGACAGCTGCTGTGGGTTGGCCTGTCTCCTGTCCTGTGTCAGACAGCCAAAGGTTTCGTATTTAATTGTTTGGGAAAGACTCCACCTATTCAGTGACCTCTGACTAACGTAGATCTGTAAGGAAAAAGGAGAGTTCTGGAGTAGGTTTGGGTTAGCTGAACAGAATCCGTGTATGGTCCATACAATCAGCTTTCACCAGGAAGATAATGTACTATTTCATATTCATTCTCTGAATTGTATGAAAATTTACCTCTTCTTGGAAGTATCTACACCATTACTACTGTGATTATGATCTGCAGTATCTTCTGTGGAGTAGTGTTTGGATTGGAAGAAGGGAAGGCAGGATGCAGCTGGAAATACTATGGGGATGACAGTATTGCGTTTATTTTATTTAGATCCTACCCTAGAACACCTAAACACAGGACTGCTCTTCCCTGGTGAAGAGAAGAAGTCTGTTAGGTAGGAGGTGGGAAGGGTTCTTTCTCTCCAGGCAAGCAGAAGTGTTATCTCCTTCTCTCTGAAGTGAAACTCTTGGTAAGGTATGGTTATTGCCATGTGTGTGCTAATAGCTCTTTGGTATTGTTTTGCAATCTGAAGCCCACTGGTGGACCATAGGCTGTACAAAAGGGTGAGTGTAGCTGCCTGCTAGCCAGTTCCTCTCTTCCATTTTAAATATTTTTGCTTTCTGCTTGCTTGCATGGGGCTGCAGCCAAGATACGCCAGTAAGTTTCACCTCCATTAATTATATAAACAGAATCCTGTATAAACTAACCTTACTGCAATGACTAACACTGCTGCTTTTATAACAGGACAGAGCTCCACAGTAGATGTTACCAATGCATGAGTGTGTGAAAAAGGACATGTGTATTCATCATGGGCATGCTTAGGTGCTGGTGTTGATGGGATATTTTACAGTATCCAAAGTAACTATTAGTAGATCTTGGGACTTGACTGGGTCTGCACTTACACACCCTCACTGTGTAACGATGCCCTTTGTCATGAGCAATGCGATGGTGTTCAGGTTATAAGCTGCTGTGCAGGTGCAGCTTACACTAGATGGGTATTTGATTCTGCCTGAGCCAAAGTGAAGTAGAAGAGCTCTTTACATCCTAAGATGGCTAAGCACCAATACTTGTCTCCCAGAAGTTGCTTGTGGTAAGTTACATGCCTGGTTGATTACTTTGACAGGGCCAGATCTTTGACAACTGCTTCTCTAAGCTGTTACTGTCAGTCCATGCTGTGGGAAAATTAAACGATGAATAAAAATTGCTGTAACTCTTATAATCAGTGCTGCGTAAGCTTCTGTTGGATGTGTCGTTCTCTGTGTGGACAGTCTGCTCTCCTGTGTGCTGGACCACGCATGGCAGGCTGCTTTGCTGCTCAGCAGAAGGGTGAGCACACACTGAAGCTTTCCAGCCCTGCAGCTGCCTGATGTGCTTTGGCTAGCAGGTGGTTCCCAGTCAGAGAGCAGATGCTGCTGCAATTGCAAGATGTGCTGAAGCTGATCTATGTTGCAGTCAGGGCAGTGGTACAGGAGACAGCGAAGAGGAGCGTATGTGTGAAACCTTGGAGCACGAATGTTGGAAGCTTGCTTGTTCCATGAGTGGTTGTTGGACAATAATGAATTTTCTGTCAATACAAATCAAGGCTACTTGGTGCGTTTCAGCCTTTTGTAGCGTGTGTGCATGGGAAGGAGAGCAGCAGCACAGCTGCTGCGTAGCACTGGGTGCTCCACAGGGAGACTGAGTGCCACGGCAGCGTTGGAAGTTTCAGTAAAAGCAGTCAAAATCTTTGAATGAATTATGGAATTAAAAAGGCTTTGAGCTAGTGATGAGAAAAATACTAAGCAAAACCCAACTGCTAGGTGTGGTGTAGCTGTCTGCCCTTAGCTTTATTACTGCTGCCTGCAGGGACAGATTTAGTGCTGGTAGCTTTTCCAAGGGAAGGACCATAATTGCATTCTTCATATAAAGTGCTGTAGGAGTAAGCATTGATATCCCATGCTGGAGTGTGTCCCATCTCCTCATTCCCATCTGACGGTGAGGGGCTCATGGGAATATTGTTTTGCTGGTGTTAAAAATCATACAAGAACGCATTGCAGAAGGAGACATTTATGTACATTTATGGTGTTGGTAACGTCCTCCCTCTCCTGGTAGCTCAGTGTTTTATTTTTGAGGCACTGATTTGTCATTCTATACATTGTTACAGCCAATGGTGCAGCCATTTGGATTTGCATCTAAAGCCCATCACCAAAGAAGCACAGATCAGGAAAAGAATGTCAGTCATGCAAAATTAGCGTGTTCCATGGTGAGGAATGGGCAGTATGTGAGGGGGGAGGCTGTGACAACCTTAGCATGTCTCAGCAAAAATTGTTCTGGGTACGTAGGTGATGCTTTCCTTACTAAAGAGCATTTGGCTTTGCCTTCGTATGATCTTTTTATTTGGCTTAAGTGAGCTTTCTTTCACTGCCTGGAAAAGGTTAACCATAAAATACCTATCAAATATCTCTCGTGAAGTATATCAGCTGCTGTTCTGCCGAAAAAACTCCGTTAGGGCAAATAATTCTTTGCTGCCTTGAGTTTGTATAGCAGTGTATGTCCATCTGCTGTCTCTGCACGCACACATGGAAGGCTTTTTGGGCTCTCTGACGTGCACAGGCTGACATGTCCCCCCTCCTGAAGGAATGTTGCATACAGAGTGCAGGTATTCTGTACACTGACGCTGCTCGTGCAGTCTGCATATGCAGATAAACAGTCGCAGTATTTGCATCTGTGTTTCAGTTTGAGATAAATATTTTTCATTAATTTTCCTGGATTTATTTGGGTTACATTACACGAGGATCAGAGAAATGAGACAGGGAGAGATTTGTTTTTGTCCAACTGAAGTGAGGCTAAATCTAGTGTAGAAGTTAGGAGCTTTATAGACGAAAGGGGTCTGGTGATTATTGCCTTGAAGTCATAGCTTTCATCTCAGGGAACGCAGTGTCAGCTGGCCTGGGGAAGTCATCCTCTGCAGCTCCCTGTGAAGGAGACCTTTGTTGGTAGGTGTAGGACATGATCATGGGTGTCTGCCTGAGCTGTGCCTTCTCCTCTGGGTTGGGATCAGCAGCAGATCCTGAGGTCTCTTCATGCTGGCTGCTCTCTTTGTGCCTCCGGTAAAACTTCTGTCCCCTCTGGGACGGAACAGGCACAGCTGCTGCCACCTGTGATGAGCAGAAAATATTCATTGGCGGCCTCTTTCGTTTAGAAGTAGATTCTCCTTCCTTCTACCTCGTCTCTTATTATTTCGTTAAGTGCTGCTCTCCAGTTTGGGGAGTGTGCACATAGTGCCTGAATTCAGTTCCTCTGGTAAGTATAACTTTATTTTGTACCTGAGAAAACAACGATCGCTGTGTTTTGTTGTTCTCTGCATAACCTTCCCTTTCTCGGCATTTCAGTGACAAACCTTTTCCTACTCCACTACAACCAGGATTTCTAGTTTATTTTATTTTATTCTTTTAATATATGCAATTGCATTTAAGTACCTGATTTCTTCTTAATCATATTGAGAATGGTGGAACGTTACAAGGGATTGAAAAGTCCCACTTGTTCAAGTTTAGGAGGAAATATATTGGGATATGCAGCACTGTGAGAGACGTTTCCAAAGTAATTTCTTCTTTCATTTCCCTCTTGCAGGGGCTGAATGTGTTTGGAGCTCAAATGTGTGTGTTAAATTGCAGACCGCGTACTCTGGGGTGTCATTCTTATTGGGCCTTTCTGTCTTTTTTGTCTTGCAACCCAAATGAGATATCTGGAGAAAGGCAAGAGCTCCCTTTTCTTAAATGTCCCACAGGCTATTTCAGCTCTCAGAGCAACAGGTAACTTGCCGGAAAAGACTTCCCTGGCTCCTGCACCCTGTGCGTTACACCGATCTTCAGCATTGCCAGAACTTACTGCTGTAAAACTCACAGATTCATTAAACATTTCCCTGGCTGGGCATTATGGAGTCAGTTTGATGAAGCAGCTTTGTGTTACGCTTTACCCATGAAGCCATTGTTTGCTGTAATTCTTTGTAAGTAGGCCTAATTCATCTGCTGACGCACTCCCATATGAGACTCGGGAGGGCACGTGGGGAGAGAAGCTGCTGCTCGCTTCTGGGGCTGCTTTCCACATTGCTTCAGCACGTAATGATGCAACGTCCTTGTGCCCGAGGAAGTCCCACTGCTCTGAGGGCAGAGGCTTGGTCTGACAGAGCTGTGTGGAGCGGGACGTAGCTCTCCAGTGTTGAGCTCAGAGGTGAAATCATCTTCTTGTCCCCTCTCGTGTGTCAGCGCCATGGCTGTGATTCGGACCCCTTAGCAGTCACCGTCTCTATTGCACGTGCTTTTTTCTGTCCATCTGCTCTTCAGCAATTGCTGAGGGAATGACTTTGTACTTCAGAGATGCTTACATCTAGAGAAAGTTTGTTTGAGGAGGTTTTTGCTGACTGCTTCCTCACTGCAAAAACGAAAGTGCAGTCCTTGTAATTCTGTGCATGGTTCTAGTGGCTATTGAAGTGAGGTGGTACTTCTTGTTGGGGACAGCCGCAGCCCGGTGCCCTTTCTGGTGTGCTCTGGCTTGCACTTGAACTCACCACCAGTCCTCGTGCAACAGGAGGTGCTTTAGAAGAGATCCAAACTGGTGCCAATGAACGTCTGCTGAGATCTGTATGCCATCTGTCAGCACGTGGCCTGCTGGTATGATGTGCTCTCAGCTCTCTCACTTTCCTGTTATTAAAACAAACACAAAGTTTCACAATTAGTCTGCCAAACAAGGCTGAAATGTCTTCTCTGAGAACATTCTTCTTTTCTGCAGTAGTCTGCACTGTTCTGTAAAATCTATTAGTGTGCTTTCCCTTAGAGTACTTTATTAATGCTTGTAACTCCAAGTCCTACACTTTGGCCTTGTTCCTTTATCTGAATTTTGAGAGTACAGATACAGGAGGCAAGGCAGATTGCCTTCCAACATGCAGGCAGTGCTATGCTGCTCACTTAAAAGCTGTCCTAACAGCACTTCATCAGTGTGTTTTTATTTTTAAGGGTCCTGCCTTGTCCAGAGCTATTTCCCCTGTCAAGTTTTAACTGCACTTGAAAATGCAGGAGGTTTATTATGCAGAGGATTAACAAAGAGGAGATGCTAACCCCAGGCTCATGTTGACACTTCATACTGCAGTAACAAAATCAAAGCGAAGATCTGAGTAAAGAACTACTTTAAGTTCCACTCTCGCTGTGCTATGCTGCAGTTCCTCAGCAGAGCAGCACTGCCTCAAACCTGCAGCCAGAAGAGGGGAGAGCAACTCAGGGCATCCCTGGATCTTACTCCGCAGAGTGAGGAGGAGGGAACACCAGCCACAGGCTGCAGGTCTTCCTGCATGCTGCTGGTGCAGTGGGCAAATAAAGAACTCCTGGTACCTATCTGCACTCCCATTAGAGCCCAATTCTGTTTACTGCACACAGAGGTTAGTTTAATTAAAAACAGATGTAGTAGCTTAATAAGTTGGGATGGTCATCATCCTGAAGTTTATAAATGCGGTGGAATTCATAGTTTCTTTCAAGCCATTTTATACTGGGCTGCATCTGTCAGTGGTGGTGCACGTGACAAATTTTCAAAGGCTGTAACTGCACGGTAGGGAAATTCAATACTAGTATGTGAGTGGGTTTCTAAGCAATAATTATTGCACTTGCAGAATTTTTATCAGCCTGAAAATCTGTAAATCAGCGTAAAACACATTTAACCAAGGAAAGCGTTGTATGTTTCTCAACAGATCTGTGCTAGTGCAAATGTTGAGTGTAATGGTAACTTGTAATACAGTAACTAGTAATATAGTATAGCTATAACAACTCGCCTTGGCATGTATGTTCCAGTTAAATAGATCCAGTAGGTCTGCACCAGTACAGATATTGCATGCTGTAGGTTAAAGTTTGCAGCAAAGCATGTCTTGCATTCTTCCTGCAAAAATGCTTTGTTAGCGTAGACTTTGCATGTTGAAGTGCTAAAGTGAGGTGTAGCATGTCTCAATGAAAGAGCCACTAGCTTAAATAATGTGCATGTTCTCAGTAAGAGATCTACAATAACTGCTTAATTTTACATTGCAGTACTGAAGTGCAACAGAAAACACTTGGAAGTTGCACTGCTAACCATGCATTAATAGATGGTATCTTGAACAGATGTATAGTTAATCTAAACCTTAACAATGGACTACTGCCCAGAGGCAGGTGTTTTTCTAGTACAGCAATTACCTTGATGCAATTTCTGTTTCTAAGTGGTGCAGCAAAAGAAACATTACAGATTTCAAAGGAGAGGCTGCTTTTCTATTACAAGAAAACTAAATATACTGAAGATGGTCAAATTGTCTTTGTGAACGTTTTCAGTTCACTGCACCAACTCTCATATGTTTACTGTAGTTGAAAGGATGATGTGGACTTACCAGCAGGTAACACCATAACACATCACAGCCCCCTGGAGGCAAGCAGGGCCTTGCTGTCTTCTGTGCAGTGCTGAAGCCCTCGCTCAGAGCTCTGATGTCTGCAGGGTCTTTTAGATGCCAGCTTGTGCAGAGCCACAATTTCCCTGTAGAAAACATCACTGTGAAACTAGGAGGAACTGAGGCTCAGCACAGCACTGCCCAAGCAGGCAGTCAGAGCACATGGTGCTGCTTGCTGCCTTGCCCTTTCTTCTGCAGGGAAATCAGAGTAGTTCTTGGCATCTCAGAGAGCTGTACTGAGGCTTCCTCTCTGCCAGACTTGGGTTTCAGGAGTGGCAGGGCCTCTTGAAGGTAGATCTGCAGGCTCTGAGAATGGCACACACATCTGGACTGACAGAACCCTCTGTCTTTCCAGGCATGATATTCTCAAGCAGCGTGAGATAACCAGCAAAGGTCTGACCTTGCTTATATCAGTGTGATTTGTTCATGGGCTCCTGTTTCCTCAAGTTTCACAAGCTGAGTGTCTGTGAGTGCTGGAGCTGTCAGTGAGCTCAAAGTTAAAGCAGCCAGCTCCTCTTGACTGCTGTCGTATATACAGAAAGATAAATAAAACAGTGACACGAAGGTCAGTTCACACCCTGAGCAAGCTGGTAGAAGAGCCAAAAGATAACATATGAGTGGAAGTCTGCTTAAAGAGGCTACAAACGGACATTTCTGTAGCTTAGCTCTCCTGAAACCTCTTAGTGTCTAATTTATATTTACTTAGCCTTCACTAAATTTGTTTGCTTTTAATTGGATTCTGTTACGTGGATTTGCAGCCCCAGTGTGATTCTGTATACCGTACCTTTGTTACCTGTGCTTTCAAGTTGTAACTGGAGTAATTGGGCACATACACGCCCAGCTAAATCACCTTAATTTAAGCTGTCTTCTGCTCCCTTAGGGGTGAGCGTCCCCTTGCAGGGCAGGAGGAAAGGCAGAGGAAGCAGGCAGGGCACAGGGTGGCTCCATGGAAGGGAGCTGTGAGCTGCAGAAGCTGAGCAGCCTGCCCAGCTCTGCCACACCGCCTTCAGGTACAGGGGCTGCCAGTTTGGTTGGGCTCCTTTGCTGACATGCATACCACAGCAATGCTGGAATGAGAGCACGTTAGCTCAGTAGCTGGAAATTAGGTTATGTGTCCAAATGTGTTTTGTCTCAGATTTCTGCTGTCCCACTCTTGCGCTTCCAACTGTTTATGGTGTCAGCAGCATACGGCCCTGCTGCCATTGCTCTGAGAGTTGTCTCTTTTGTACTGGAAGATAGAGGGAGGAATGGCTTTGATTTTTCTGTATTGAAGGCGTTTTGGATTAGAAGTGTTATATAGCTCCTCTTTGTTTTTTCAGAGTGAAAGAATTGAAAAAGGCCAAGGAACTTGAAGATAAGCAGCAGCATCCCGTAGCAATGTGACATTGCTTCTCAGACTGTTTTCATTTTCTGTTTTTAGCAGAGACATGCAACAACAACAAAAATACCCACTGCAGTTCTGGAAATACCATCTGCAGGATTTTAACAGTAATGTTTTGGTCATTGCATTTGCACTTTCATGGACAACATTTAATTTGTTCAGCAAGACATCTTGGAACTCAATCTTCTGTTGGATCATAGGAATAAAAAAAAGACACCAGGAAGAATTTGTGAGTTGCTTCATTCTCCAAGAAGGAAGAAGCGATTAATTATCCTTTTCATATAGGGCTGTATTGAACAACATGTGGAACTGTACAAATATTATACCAAAAATATTGTTCAGAAAAGGTGGGAATGCACAAGCAACACAAGAATGGTGTTCCTGCACTTGTCGGTCATCTCCAAGAAACTGAAGCTTTGAGAGTCTCAGTGGAGGGGCTTAGATCAGTACGTCTTTATTGGGTCCATGCATCCTCATTTCCTTTGCACATCTGTCCTTTGTGTTTTATTTAAATCTCTACAGCACACTTAATGCAACTTTTTAAATCTGCAGGTTTTTAATACATCCCGTGGGAACTTTGAGAAGGGGTTGGCATGTGAGATAAACGGGTAACGTGCAAGAAGCAGAGAGAGCAACTTAAGCAAGTTTTAAAAAGTTTCTTTTTGGTATTTTTACTCTAGAACCTGCAAAAACGTATCAGTTGCCATGTATTTTCTCTCATATTCAGCACTTTATTTTCTAGCCTTACTTTCACGTACTGTTATTTTAATTAAGTTCTTACAATAATTTGCAAGACATGTAGCTTTTTGTCGTAACTGTCAAACCTCTTGTCGTTTTGCAGAGTCACGTACATTTGTTGCCTGGACATTTTATGCCACCTAAAGAGCAGAGTGGTGCTGCATTCTGGCCAGTAAATTTCTTTTTTTGGCTCTTTCATCAAATCTGGGCAGTTTCTGTATATATAGAAGGTAGAAATGGAAAATGAGAAAAAAAATATTTGAAAGGGAATATATTGATTAATTACTAAATATTTTATTCATAAAGGGTCAATAACTTGGCAAGATAAAATTATTATTTGTATAGTTTTGTCTGAATGAACGAGAAGAGTGTGGATGTATTGTTTGTACATATTGTATATATTAAACAAAGAGATATGTGCATGAACTCAAGAAAAAGAAATGAACAAAAGCAAAGCATTAGTGGCTATGGTCTGTAAAATGAAACAAAAACTTTATTTCACTATAAGAAACTTTATTTTAAATGTTCTTTAGAAGAACATTTTTGCTAAAGCATGACTAAATGGCAAAAAAGAGCTACTGTATTTAGACTTAGGAAAAAAGGCAGAGCAACATTACTTTAAAAAAAAAAAAAAAGAAAGAAAAAAAAAAAAGGATATGTTTACATTTGATTTTGGCTACCAGGAGTTCGGTTTGGTTGAATTTCCGTTATTTATTCCTTCCTTCTTTTTGCCCCCCCGTCTTTTTTTTCCTTTTTATTTATTTATTTTTTTTTGCCAATGGTGCCAAGTAATGTGAATGCTAATATTGCTTCAGAAACTTACGTTACTTTTGCAAAGCAGATAATCATAAAAGTACAGAAATGTATCTAGCTTAACACCATACACTCACTCCAATAAAGAACACTTAGAATGAATATAAAATGAAGAAAAAAAAAAAAAAGAAATAGTATGAAAGTAGAAAATATCTTTCACATTTTCATATCTCCTGCTGGAAGTCAGAAAATGTAATAAAAATTGCACAAAAAATTAAAAAAAAAAACTAAGTAAAACAACAAAAAAAAGATGCAAACTGATCTCGTAGGGGTGTCATGGTATATTGCTATTTCCACATAGTGAGGAGCCAAAGAAATTAGTGTTGTTGTTGTTTTTTTGAATTGAAGTACTAATTTAAAACTGTCACAAATTCTCAACGATGGGAAGCAGGTTCTGATCTCGGCTACCCAGGAATGTAAGGGAAGCAGCTCCGAGGCCGCCGTTAATGTGTTCCGTTCGTCTGTCTGAGGTCAGAAGCTGCTCCTCTGTGTCTGTTTTGCTAGCAGCAGCGGCAGGTCTCTGAGCGGCCTGATGTCACTTTGGGATTGTTCCTATGGGAGGAATCGTTCTGGCTCGATCCCGGCCACCAACTGCAATGTTTAAACGGAAGGCTTTCTGTGAAGCCTAAAGATACTCACACATAAGAAGCTTTTAAACTGGTGTCTTTAAAAGAAGAGTAAAAACAAAGATTGTGGCAAAACAAACAAACAAACAAAAAAAAATAAAAACAAACCTGGGGTCAGTGCTCTTGGTGCCTTTTCTATAATTGTACCTGTTTTTAATTACTTCTTTTCACTGCCAGCATTGAATTACAGTAGATGTGTGCTATAGCTCATTATCAGAATTATCTTGTACATTTCTGAATTGCTGCTTTATGACCTGATTCAATTAAAAAAAAAAAAAAAAAAAAAAAAAAAGGAAAGAAGAATGGTTCTCATGCTGTGGCTTTGGGCAGCTCATAGCCTCAATTTATTGTTATGGAATCGGGACTTTATGTGTTAAATTTTCCTTACACACAAAAACAGAAATGCAGAAGAATCTCCCTTGGAATGAATAGGAAATGCTCTGTATTAATACTGGAGGAACTCTGACATTCTGAAATTGAAACGTTGCTCCACACATTCACCAGTGCGTGACGATGCGAATTGATCTTTTCCTAACAAGAGTAGTGACCTCAGTGGAAATATTTTAATTCCCTGTATTTAGAAAAATGATTCAGTAATATACAGAGCTATTTCAAATTACTCTTCCAGATCCATGGGCCTGGTGGTGTATCTACTAACCTAGATCCTGCTTCAGCAAAACGTTTAAGCGTGTACTTGGTGTTAAACATGCAAGAAGTTCTGTAGGGTCAGCAGAAATACTTGCCTGCTTGAAGCCAAGTACAGCTTCTAAGTGCTTTGTTGTGTGGGTCATAACCCTTCAGTGCATCGCAGGGGAGTTGCAGAGACTCCCACTGAAGTGAAGTGATTCGCTCACCCTTCTCTCCGTTGTGGAACTCCTGTTTTCACAGAAGATAAACTCAGTGCAGCTTCCCGGGAAAGTTCAGATTCCCAAGTGCCAGGAGCCAAACCTTCTGTCTTCTGATCATGGAATTGCTCCTTTGTGAAACGCATTTGACAGCAGTAATACTGTGTGAAAGAAATACAAAATATAACATGAACCCCCTCTCTGGTTGCACGCTTATGGCAGTTCCACACAATAGCTGGTGCCCAATGGGGGGTCCCCAAGACTTGCATGTAAAACTAGTATAGATGTCTTCTCTTTTGTAAGTTTTATTTTTGTAACCGTGCATGTAAAGCATCACTGAATCAATGGATCTGTTGAAGAACTCAGCTGCTGGAACCATGCAAAATGTTTTGAATTGCCCTTAAAATATGGAAAATGTTTTCTGAATGCTTTATATTCTTTCTGCTGTAAATTAAAAACAAAGAAAATTTCCCCATACAAAGTGTCTGCCTTTTTTTCAACTATCTGTTCTAGTTTAAAAAGGTGACATTTCCCTTTAGTGGCCATATGAAACCACAAAATAATGTGTTCTGCTACAGAAGCTGCTTGTTAACACCGCCTAGTCTCTTCCTGCTTCTAACTGGAACGGTCCAAAGTCTGCCTGCCTCTGGGTCTGCGGCCTTTGGGATTCACTGCAGGCAGCAACGCAGCCTCCAGATCTTCGGCCCCTTCTGCTCCTGCATTCTGGTGTGCAGCCTTCAGCCTGGGCACAGAACACACAGCAGGGAGCAGCTCCTCCAGCTCTGCACAGCGCTGTGCTGCAGCAGCCCCATTCAACACCTGCAGCTGAAGAGAAAGCGTGCAATGCCAGCTGCCCTGCTGCCCTGCGGCCTCACCGCCAACAGAAGCTTTTGTTGTTGTGTTTTGGCTGCTCTTACATCAAAAAAGAACTGGTTTAGATCTCTGGTGCTGGGTAACAATCCTCTCAAAGCTTCCAGTGCAGGTTTTGCCAAAATGACAACACAGAAGTGTTAAAAACCCAGTAGTCCTCAAAAACACAGGTTCAGCCTAGCTGCAGCTTTGCTCAGTGGAAATTAATTTCCAAGCCAAGGTGACATGCAGTGTTTTTTTTAAGTTGTAAAATACTCTGAAAGTTCCATCGGGTGATGACACTGCATGTCTGTAAATACCTGACCAGCCCTTGGCAGTAGTTCTGCTTAGGTCTTCTGTCACAGCTTAAAGCAGTGCTGCCCAACAGGTGAGCACTGGGCGGGGTGAGGAGCTCTTCTGCGTCTGTTTCGTTCCTATAGAGCAGAACGATGCCCTTTTTGGGACGCAGTGCTGGAGTTGGCACAGCTGGCAGCAGAGCGCTGCCTCCAGCACCGCACAGAGAATGGGGGCAAATCCTGGTGAACCTCGAGGTTTGCTAATGCAGAAAACTAGCAGGATTTAGTATCACAATAATTTTAGTAGCTGAGCATTAATGGCTACTTATTGCACTGGGCAGATACGTAAGTTGCACGAACCGATCTTCAGTAATGCAACCGCGGTACGCGACCGCGAGGCTCTCCGAGCGCGTAAAGCAGCGATAAACGATCCGCTGCTCAGCGGCAGCGCAGCCAATCCTCCCGCCCCGCCCCTGTGGGCGTGGCTCACCCGGCCTCGCCCTCTGACGTCACATCCGGGGCAGCTCGCACTTCCTGTCAGGTCCATTCCGAACGGTTTGGGTGCGCAGCGGCTCCGTTCCCGCGGCAGGATGTGAGTACGGAGCTGCGCCTCAGGAGCCCCGGCGGGTGGGGAACGGCCCGGAGGGGCGGCGGGGAGACCGGCCGCAGCCGGGCGGGTGAAGCAGGAGCGGCGGGCGGCTCGGCCCGGCTCGAGCTGGTGATGACGGCCGGGCGCCGCCCGTGGGTGGAGGCTCCCCGGGGCGGCTGCGCTCCGAGACGTGAGAGGCCGAGCGCGGCCTCCGCTGGGGCTGCGCGCCTCGAACCAACGCTACCAGAGCCTTTGGCTGCTGCTGGAGGCGGGGGGCATCCCGACACGTCCGGCTTCCCGTGACAATGCAGGCGGCCTTGCCAACTTATGGAGCCTTTCCTGAAGGCGCTGCCGATGTAGGCAGAGCAATGAAGGGCGGCTTTTTCTTGTGTTTGTTCTGTTTGAGCCTCAGAAAGCAGCCTCTAAATCTTTATAGCAGTGAAACAGCACGGAAGCGTGACCTGAGCATCAAAACACCGGAGTGGCAACTACGTCAAACGTGGACTGCTCTTGAGCCTTGTCCTGTTATTGTAGGGTACTTGGGCGTGGGTCCTTGTGTGTGTCCACTTCCTTTAAATGTAGATTTGAATTTAGTGCCCAAAGATGTAAAAATAAACACCACTCAGATTCGACTCTCTGGATATCAGTTTGCACTGAACAATACATGCTTTTGATGCAGAGAAAGAGAAAAACACAGAAAAGCAAATGGACTTTTGGAGCTACACAACAGAAAGTCATTAAAGCTGTGAACAGGGTTTGGGAAATGCATACAGGAACTCGTGCATCCATCACAGTGTTGTACTGGGTAACGAGAATGTGGCTGTGTAGAGGTTAACTGTTCTGTATGCCAAGTGCCTTTTCCTTGTGCTTTCTCTTGCTCAACATCGACTATTTCAAAAGAATAGACAGACAACCGCTCTGTGCAAGAACACAGAACAACCGTGGAAGTTCCTGTACTTTGGTAATTGGTTTTGAAGCTTATAGTTTGTTACTGAAAAACTGAATGCTGCTGAGCCTGTGCTTGAGAACCTGAGCCCCTTCTGAGCACTATGGGAGTTGCCATATGCTTTAATATAGACTGTTGTGTTAGCTAATCACTACTCTCTTTTAGTACATCAGTCAATCCATTGGCAAAAGATTTAGGATGCACTTTGACTTAGACCTATAGACAGCTGCTAAAACATCACTTTTCCAAAAGGAAATGAAACTTCTCTAAGATTATTTCAGGAATCAAAGTTTCCTGCTTTCAGGAAGGTCAGATCACTTATGCATTGTAAGCACGTCAACATGAAAGTAAAATCTCTAAGAGAAACTAAGCAGAATATCAATGGCTTTCTTTACTGCAGGTCAGCCAGTGTCCCTGGAAACACAAATGTGCCTGCTGGCAGTAACCGTCGACTTCAGCAAACTCAGCATCAAGTAGATGAGGTAAAAATCTAGCTAGATAAGTGTAATCCTTTTCCTTAATAAAATCTGGTATGTTGAATAGATATACAGGCCAAAGTAGGTATTCTGTGATATGAAGGTGAAACCTTTTATAATTCATCTTTCTTTGTTGTATGTCACCTTAAGTCTTGGAAAGGTTTGGAAAAATAATAATCCATTCCAGCTGCACTAAATGGAGAAAAGCTTCCAGTGCCCAAATGCTAGCTGGGAACACAGCAAGCTTTGATTTACAGATAAAAAGCTTGCTTCTCTTCATTAGCAAAGAAGGTTTACCTCTAAATACAACAAGTCCTGATTCCTGGGGAGGCCAAGAGCCAGTCTGGCTGCTAACATTGTTTTGTGACATGTGGTTGACTATTGTGCTTGAATGCCTCAAGTCATTCTGGTGCTAGTCAGGATTTACATCCCTGGTTAGAGGAAATATCATCACAACTGGCAATACTGACACTGAGAAGTAGGGATTCCAGCTGCAGGCAAATTTCAGGCTTATGTTTAGATACCCTAAAAGGCGAGTTCCTTTTTTCTTAGATGAGAACATCTGTTCCCTGCAAATGAATTTTATAATGATTAATAAAACTGATAACTTACTGATATAGGTTGTTGACATCATGAGAGTGAATGTGGACAAGGTGCTGGAAAGAGATCAGAAGCTGTCAGAGTTGGATGACCGTGCTGATGCGCTGCAAGCGGGAGCTTCCCAGTTTGAGACCAGTGCAGCCAAGCTGAAAAGAAAGTATTGGTGGAAGAACTGTAAGGTAATCATGGCATGTACACTTACAGTATTCAGTATCACAACTAACAGTATTACAGTCAGCATCTCAAAAGGCACAGGAAAAAGGGACTTCAGGCAGCGTTCGCTTTTATAGCATCTAGTTTTAAAGCAAGGCAGTGGTCAGGTGAAGTAACTGAAAGGTGGGATACCAGCCATGCTGCTTGATACAAGGCCTTGTGTGAGTGGGTAATGACCAGAGAAATGCTGCAATAATCTGAGGCTTTGGGATACAGGAGGAAAAGGCCAAAAATGCATACTAATGTGCAAGCAAGCAGAATTAGCTCACTGTCTCCTTATAGTTGTAGCTGTTGGTGGAGGTTGGAATCCTCATTGGTGAGCAACAGAGACAACAGAAAATGTGGTGTAGAGTAAGAGGAGGTGTAATCTTTAAGTTCTTTATTCCTGCTGTGTGGTTGCCTGCCAGGAGTCACTGTAGAAAAGAACTTGGTCTACTCTGATTTGCTGTGTTACAAAGCCTACCATCTCTAGGTGCAATAGTGAGACAAGACTGCATACGGAAAAAGTTTTAATTGCCATGGTAGGTCTGCCACACCAAGTGAAAGTGCTTTGCAAGGGCTGCTGTCCTGTACTCCTGTGCAGTTTATATCAAGTGACAAGTGGCTTTTTCTTCACAGATGTGGGCAATATTGATAGCTGTTGTTGTCATTATCATCATCATCATTATTGGTAAGTTTCAGCAGGATGGGGATTGCTAAGAGTTAGAGTAGATGTGGTTAATTCACCAGCCGGTGAAGTTCAGAGGCAGCTGGGACACTCTATAGGAGTTACAGACAACACTGCGTTCAGGCAGTAGTGTCTGCTTTCACTGCTATTGACTGCAGTGAGTGATAAACCCCCGCTGCAAAGCCGATTAACTGGGTCTCAATCAGCTGTGAAGGTGAGCACGCTGGGCTGCAGACTGCTTTCTCATACAGCTGTGCACTCTGAGAGAGCACAGAGCAACTGCAGCATTCAGAACCCATAAGGTGGGGGGTTGTTACGGCAGGGGGCTGAAAGGAAAGGACTGAGACTTGTTGTTTTTTTTTTTTTGTAGTCCTGAGTGTGCCCAAATGAGTTACGGGAGGAAACCCTCACACCGAAGGTGCCTTTCCTCAGCCTTCCCGCTCCAAGCCCGCTGTACTCTCAGCCCACCTACTGCTGTTTAAAGCGAAACTCTTCTGATGATTGAAACGTTAACTTTACCTGGTTGCCTTAAGACACTCCTGTCAGTTACTAACAGCCGCCCGTACGGCGCCTCGGTGAGGAGGATCGGATCCTGGGCGCCGCGTTCGTCCTCAGTCCTCCTCACCCGCCCGCCGCGCCGCGGTGCCATCGCGGGGGTCGGCCGCACCCCCGCCCCGTTGAAGTGCCTCAGCCGAGCCGCCCCGGCCCTCGCCGCCCTCAGCGGCCGTTCCCGGCTCTGTTCCCGGCTCTGCCCGTCTCGGGGCGGGCCGCGCGGCGCCGCACGTGGCGCTGTGGTTGGCGCGCGCACGGGGGCCGCGTGCGGCGGCGCGTGAGGGGCGGGGCGCCGCCTCCGCCGCGCGCGCGCTCTCCAATAAAGTGGCTCCGCACCCGTTCCCGCCTCTCGGCTGTGTGTGGGAAGGCGGGGCGGGGGGGGCGGTGCCGCGCGTTGCCGCCGTGTGTGGGAGCGGCGCGGCCGCGTGCAGGGCCGTTACGTAACGGGCGGGGGGCGCCGGCCGCGTCCCCGAGCCGAGATGGACGGCTGCGGCGCGGAGCTGAGAGCGGGAAGCGGCGCCGGCGGGGATCGGCGCGACGGGACGGAGTGCGGCGGCCGCGCGCCTGGCGGAGGCTTCGGGTAACGCGCTGATGCGGAGGGCGCGCTGGGCTCTGGGGGCATCGCCCGAATCGCGGTCGGCGGGGGCGGCCGGGCGGGGCGGCGGTGCGCGGAACGGGGTGAGACGCGGGGACCCGCAGCGGTCGGCCGTTCCGGTCTGAGTTCACGCGGAGCTGCGTTTGCGGTGCGGTGCAAAGCGCAGCCGTGACGCCTCGGGTGAATCGACGGGGCTGCGGCGTGCCGCGATGAGCAGCGAGCGGGGAAACGAGCGGCGGCTGTGAGCGGCGGCGTCGGTTTCGCGCCGGCTGCGGTGCGGCCCCGTCCCGGGCAGCCGGAGGTGAGGCGCTGAGCGCCGAGTTGTGCGGGCGTTGGGTGTGTCGGGATCCGGGGAGCTGCTGGGCTTTGAGCACGTGGGGGAGCGAGCGTCCATTGCTGGTATCGATGCCGGTGATATTTAGTACATCTGGAGTTTTTCGTTGGTTAGGATCTGCTCTCGGCTGGATTACGGTGCCTCTGCCAGCCAAAACGAGCTGGGTTCAGCACGGAAGGAGGGGACAGAAAGGTTAAAATGCAGAGAAATCAAAAGGTGCAGCATGAAATAGAGCAGATGAGCTTTAGGGCTTTTCCTCCTGTCCTGTGGGTCGCCATACGGTGGAAATAGTTTTTTGGGGGTGGAATCTCCTATAGCAGAAGTCGCCATCGGAGTTCAACCTCTGTTTTGATCAGTGATCAGCTGGATTGGCGTCAGTCTCACAAAGATCTGATGGTGATGATCCAAGAAATCAAAAACTGTTTGCCTGAAGAGAAAAGGAGTTCCAGCAAGCCCAGCACTGTCAGTGCTCTCAATTACGCTTTACGGTGTGTACAGCAGGTCCGAGGTAAGCATGGAAAACGCCTGGAAGCACATGAGCTGTGCAGCAGCTTGATTTGAATGGACACGTCTGACAACAGATAGCATTCAAACAAATGAAAACACTTCAGCTATCCTGTCAACAAATGAACTGCTCTAGTTTTTTTGGCTTCAAAGTCAGAATGCCCTCTGACTGCTTCGATCCGATTCCGCATCCAGGCACAGATAGGTGACTGCTAATAACTTATCATGCATGTTGAGAAAACAGCATTTCTGTAGTTTGGAAAATGTACTGGATAGTTCTCCTGTGTTCTGCAGCAGAGCTAAGTAGCTTGTCACTCTTTTGCTGTCACTTGCTGTCCTCTTTACTTCCTTGTGCTCCTCTTCTACAGCATAGGTCACTCCAGTGGTATAATCAGTACTCTTTTTTTTCTTTTTTCCCCTTTGTTACTCCATAAACATTCTTCATCTCAACTTGGGCTTCATCAAAACAATGACAGTTAGGAGGGCTGTAAGAAATACTTTTAAAATTGTCTTCTTACTGACTTCCTTCTGTTTGTTTTGCATTTTTTGTTTCTTCAATTAGCAAACAATGAGTTTTTCCAGGCTCTTGGTGATCGAAGAGTGTTCCAGACGGGTGTGATGACATACAGCATAGAAGAGTTGGTGACAGTTGCATCAGAACACACTCCAAAAAACAGTGTAAGGAATTCAGACACGCTGAGAGGAGTTCATCACTTTCTGTTTCAGTCTCTATTTTATCACCTTAATATCTTTTAGGGAAACAGAAGTGTAAAATCAAAAAGCCTTTAAAAGGCAAACAGGTTTTTGTTAGTAATGGTAGATCAGTGTTACTGCTTATCTGTGCTGAATTGGCAGACCCAACAGCTGTAAGTGAAGAAATACTTCTGTTTCCTGTTTTCATTTTTTTCCCAGACACAACCATGATCTGTGAGAATTTTTGAATTCACTTGCAGCATAATAATCTCCTCGGATGGCATAGCAGAATGTTTTCATACCTGATCAAATCCGTAGTTGTGAAGGTCTCTGGTTTCTGTTTGTGTTCTTGGATTATTTCTCCATTGATTAATCAATTTACAGTACATGCTGTGGTTTCTGGCTCTATTGCAAAGAGTGCTGAGTTTCAATACTATCACATACTCTATCAGAAAGTTCTCAGATTTCTGTACATGGAACCATGACCTGTGAAATCTGGGGGGAAATCTGTGGCCAGATTAGCAGTCATTCTGGAAAATGGCAAGCATCTGTGGAATCTGTTTCAGTATTGATATTGCAGTCTCATTAGCATGAGTAAGCTGTGACGCTATGGCAGGCTGTAGTAGCTCACATGCGATTTTGTTTGGATGCTGGCTTTAGAAGTCTCTTCTGTACCTCCGTCGTTATGGTGTGTGGTTGTTTGTCCTGTAGTTCTTGTGGGAGGAGATTGGGGGAAGTTTGACTTGTTTGTTTGTTTTTTTTTCATCCATTCAATATTGCTACCATGTGTTAAGGGAGAACGGCTTTTAATAAGGTTTGTTTTCCAGGACACCTTTGTGGCTGTGTTTTCCCTGCTTTCTGGGCGCATATTGCATATTTCTGAGCAGGCAGCATCCATTCTAAACCATAAGAAGAAAGTCTTGGAATCCTCCCGGTTTGTAGAGCTTCTTGCCCCTCAGGATGCAAGTGTGTTCTACGCACACACTGATCAGTCTCACTTGCCACTTTGGTGCACGGAAAGTCAAACAGGTAGGACATAATAATGATTCTGTCTTCACAGAATGAGGATAGAATGCTTGTTTGCTCTAAATACTTACACTAGCAATATAGTCAGGCCACCCTTCTTCCACTTGGAAAAGCTGAGTAGCTTTGCAGCTACTCCTAGCCTACCTGGAGTAAGTAAAATGCAGATGCCTTTTACTCATAAGCAGATAAATGGCCTACAAGTAAAAGGCAGCTGCTATTTTACTCTTTCCAAATGCTTTCCAGAAAAGAAACAGAAGGTCTAATTGTCCATTTAGAATGGCTTAATCTACAACTTAGAATTGATTAGGTGCTCTGTTATTATGGTCCTGTAGCAGAAATGCTAAGTCACAGCCTGAAGCAGTGATGGAGCACCTGGTGGGAAGGCAGGGCCAGCCCAGGGGAGCTCAGGTGCATGCAATGTTCTGAGTGATGGAAGGGCTGGAGCCAGGATCCTCCCCTTCTCAGCCCTCATGTAAGGGTTGGCTGTGGAGGTGAGGGGATCTCTCTGGAGATCTCTGTGTACTCAAGGCTTTTCGAAGGTAAGTAGCTTTTTCCATTCATTTCTGTATCTATGGCTGTTGCATTTGGGCTTGTCCCCATTTGCTGCAGCCAGAGACTTTGCTACTCTGTTATTACTGCTTTATTTTCCATCATGTTACAGTGTTACAGATTCACTTGCAACCTGCTGTAAGAGTACCTCATTGAACCCAGGTTTTACTGGGTTTTGTTTGTTTGGTACTAAGTGTGACTGAATGATAGTTTTTGAGCCTCACTTTAGCAGTGAATGATTTGAGTAGCCAAGGCTCTGTCTTTTGTCTGCTTAGCTGGCGATCTGTTCTGGCGTCGGTTCTTGGAAATCTGAAGTTTTCTCTGGATTTAACTCCAGGTCAGCCATTCCCCAGACTGGGCAGTGGAAGAAATATTTGAGATAGGAGCAAACTGTTGGCCAACTGATTAATAGCTGTTATAAGGAAGGCTGTGGGAGTTTGCTCTCGCTTGGAAAGCCTGGGGAATAAAGAGTTTGAAAGTTCTGATAGGTGTGACCTGTTTTAGGATATAAACTGATACCTTTGATGTGTGTTCTTCTTATTAGCCTCTCCGTATGACTATGCCCAGGTGAAATCCTTTTTCTGCAGGATCAGGTAAGTATATTATTATAGTTCTGTATTCATGAAGGCTGGGCACAGGGAGTGCTATGGGGCACAGGTGGTGGTTTGTTGTCACAATGACCAGTGTGAACTCTGTTAGGGGAATGGCTTACTGTGTTCGATATCAGCATTCAGCAGGATGTTTTGAGTATCTTTTCTATAGTGATCATTAAGCTTGCATGGGGTAGAGGAAGAAACTGCTCGTGCATGTTTCTTCTAGGCCTAGCAGCTTCCTTTTCTACTGCTATGCAGTAGAAGAATGATTTTGTGGGAAAGAGTCCCACTTCTGCAGTTTGAGAGTGGAGGCCGGGATGTTTTGTTTAAGATTGCTTGGGAGTTTGTGGCAGAGGTAGTAATGGAAACTCGGTCATCTGAGTTCCAACACGAGATGCGAGTCAGGAGATGCTACTTTCTGTCACTGTGGGGTGGGATCTGTTGCTTTGTGCCAGACTAATCTTAGTACTGGAGGAACCAAAGTATAATAGAGGCTGGCCTGTAGTATCTGATGCAGTTCTTCTCCAAAATGAGGTGTCTCTTGATTTAATTAAGAGCTGTTTGTTTCTGAGCAGGTAAAATACTTATTCCATCTGTCAGCAGATCACCAACATAGTCACGCTTTTCAAAAACTTGGGTCTAAAATAAACCTCCTAAAATAAACCTCCTAAA